GTACAGTTGCATTGTCTCATAAAATCCCTAGCTGGACACCAAAAGTTCACATTTTGTGATCTGTATACACAATACAGACGTGTATTGTGTATCGAGTCAGAAGCAATATGTTATCTGAGCTGAAACAAAGACTCCATGGTGCTCATCAGCTCCACTTATTACCAGAACCAGCTTGTTTATATCCATCTCATGTCCCGCCACTGACCTGAATTGAAGCACGGGTTATGTTTACTTGGTCGATAAAATAATGTGTCCTGGCTTTAATGTTTAGGTATGGAGGAGAGCAAAATATTTACAGATGTAGGTTTCAGAGATTTGTTACTTCTTCAGTTGGATCTATTTATTTTTGTTCTGCCAACCATTTGAAATCCAGACAAGCTCTGAGAAGCAGGGGTTTTAATTTCCAAAACAATTACCTGAATTAAATGAGTGTGACACTGACAATAGAACCGACTCCATTCCTAATGGACTGAGTTTCACTGAACCCTGAAAACGACATTCCAAAACAACACTACTGGATCGCCATGTGGCATGTCGCCTGTAACTATAGCAACGTGGCACTCTAAACCGTGTATAAAATGTAATGACTTGTCAAGACTTAAGAGAACAATTAAGAAGCCAACATGGGTCACTCTTTATTACACCAGCAAAAACTATTAGCCCGTTTAATTTATTCCAGGATGAAACTGGATGTAATCACAACAAGGCACAGATTTGTTATTGTGACAATTGTATTTGTTACATTTCACAAAATTTGTGTCGAAAAAAGTATCATTCAGGAACCGGTTTCGAAGTCAAGGTATCGGTATCGAACTGGTCCTTTTAACCAGTAAAATGTATATATTGCACCCACAATAAAAACTATGGTATAAACTCAGATATGACAGTCACTGCCAAACTTCCTCACACTTTTGAACAAAGATGGCCATACACCAAGAGAAAATGTATCCAATTGCTATTTTAGCTCAATCATTTGGGAGATGCATAAAAATCGGTTAATATTTTTTGAAAAATATTATGTGCAGACGAGACACAATAAAGTGACCAACAATTAAAACTATTTTATGTAAACCTGTTATGTTTTTTTTCTTTCATTTATGTTGTCCTTTAATTAATATACTTGCATTCAGCAAGTATGCATTAAATTGTTCATAATGGCAGTTAAGACTAAGAATAATTTTACAAAAAAATCTATTTTCTATTCGATTTCTATACTTCAAAGAATCCAGAAAAATGTGTCCCTGTTTCAACAAAAATATTTAGCATCATTTTAACTGATGATAATAATAAGAAATGTTTCTTGAGAAGCAAATCATCAAATCAGAATGAATTCTGAAGGATCATGTGACACTGAAGACTGGAGTAATGATGCTGAAAATTCAGCTTTGAATCACAGGAATACATTGCATTTTAAAACAGAAAACATTTTATATAAGTGATAATATTTCACACTATTTCTTTTTTACTTTATTTTTTTACTGTATACAATAACGCATCCCTGGTGGACATAAAATACTTCTTTCAAAAATATTTCAAAATCCTACTGACACCAACCTTTTGGACTGTTAAGCAGCATTTCTATTATTGTTATCAAGCTTCATAGACTATTTAAAACTTTTGTAATTTCTGACCTGAAAATAATTTTAAAAAAGCATTATCCCAATCGAAGGGGTGGGGGTCGGGTCGGGTGCAAGGACTCATTGGTGGATAGAAATAATTTTAAATAACTCAATTAATGATTTTTTTTTTTTTAAATGTACACACACTTAGAACCATACATGTCTGAATTTACACTGCTTTGGGGTTGATATCAATGTTTTATGTTTTTGAAAAAAAAAAAACATTCATTTTTAAAAAATCAAAAACCGTACAAACATTAATATTGTGAACTGTTTTCTATTTATAATTTTTAATTTTTTAAATGCAAAGCTTACCTTTCAGCAACTTAATGCATTTATTTTTGCTTCCCGCCCAAACCACAACGTTTTATTTGAGATTTGTTTGCAATCCCACATGGACCCCCTGATGAAGCCCCTGACTAACTGTAATATCCTGTGGGCAAAGGCAATCACAAGCAGATTAGCTGACGTCTCTCACTGGCCTGCAGGACAATCATTGGCTCTGTGCTGTAAACAATCTCAGGACAACACAATGTCACGCTATGCGATGCGTACTCAATGTACTCACAATGCTCAGTATAATTATTTAACATCACTGTCTCTATGATGTGAACTATACAATTCACTGACACACTGCAACCACTCATTACAGATCAAACAGCCTCTGGGGTTGCCAACTCTTTGTTTCTCTATCTCCATTAATAACTTTGATTTGTTCCATGTCACTATTGATTCGGCAGTTATACGAATTACATAACTGCATGTAAGAAACAGACAGTCCATCATGTAACACCGAGCAAAACAAATTGGGGAATGATAGCTCAAAAGGTCGTTTCAGATAAATGCACTGCCCAATGTTTACACATAAATTTCAGACAATTATATCTCAAAAACACGTCCCAGTTAAAATCTGCAGCTATATTGTTTGATTGGGATGCACACAGATGGATGTTGTTGTTTTTTTCACCTCAAGGGGGCCAAAACAACACTGTCCATGGAACATTTCACTAATGTTAGTGTATGGTTTCCATTTGGTTATTTATTTTGGAGTGGAAACAATGTAAGAACATCCATATAACATTTTGGGGACCAAAATATGTTATGAAAATATGCCTGAAAATAAAATACACAGCAAGGGCATATGAGCTGTTCTCTTGTAGTGTATTGCACTCATTTGTTTATTTTTATCTAATATTCTAAGAACATTCTAAGGTTTTTACTATAACTATAAATTAACATCACGAGAATTTGTAAAAAAAAAAAAAAATCATTATTTATAACCACATTTTTTCTTTTGTCAAATCAACTTAAATAAGTTATGTAGTTCATATAACATAATGTTTTGAGTTTCTGATGATTAAATCAATTCTCCTTCATTGTATTAACTCAATTTTTCCATTTCAATGAACTTAAAATTTTAAGGCAACCAGGTAACTTTTAAGTTAAACCAACAATTTGTTTTACAGTGTGGGATCAAGAGTTGTTTTGGCACCGATCTTGCCTGCAAACAAAATAAGGGCACATGAGCTGTTCCCCTAACATTACTATAAGGTTTCATTTGGTTATTGTTTTGGGTGGACCAAATATCTATTGTTCTAAGAATGTTATTTATAGGTTTTTTTAAAACCCTTAAACTAACACTTTCAGATCATTTCGGAGGCCAAAGTTTGTTGTGTTAGCATCGATCTTACCTGAAAACCAAATACGACAATATGAGCAGTTCCCAATTAATGTAGGGTTCCCATTTGGTTATTTTTTTGGAGTGAAACCAATATCTAACATTCTTTCTGGACTTTTTTAAGATCATAAACTAACATTCCCAGAACATTTCAAGGACTAAAATCTTGGGGGCATCAATCTTGCCCTGAAAACAAAATAGCTATACAGGCATTTGAGCAGTTCCCCTGACGCTTCCCATTTGTTTGTTTTTTTTGTTTGTTTTTTTTGGTTATAGATGGGACCAATATCTAATTTTCAAGGAATGTTGTTTTTAAGTTTTATTGTTAGAACAATAAACTAGAACAGTTATATAATCAGTTATTAATCTTCAGAACAGTTGGGGAACCAAAAGGTTTATTTTTATTTTTATTTTTTAATCTATATCTGGTCTGAATTCTGAAAAAAAAAGGTAAGGTATGAGCTGTTCTTTTTAAATTGGTATCTAACATATCCCGTATACAGTATGTAATGATGTCCACTAGTTGTAATGAATGGCAGAATACAGTATTGAACAATGAACAGATGTACTGTATGTCAGGGTAAGAGACGGAGAGACAAAGCTGGAGAAATGAGGATGGGATTGCATGGGGTTGGTGGGGAGAAGATAGCGTGGTGTGAGACGCATTTTTATTTGTCTTATTAGGTTTCAATGTGGCACCGAATACTACATCTATTTCCTGCACACACAGAAAATTCCAAGAGTAAACAGGAATTATTATTCAAGGCTACATTTACATCGAATTTTTCATAGAGCAAGCCTTCTGCACAGAAAGGCTATTTGTAATGTAATAGTTTGAAATTGAACATTAAAGTCCAAGTGGAGTTGATAAATCAAGTCATCTCTATACCAAACTGCATGGAAAAGTTAATTCTTCAAATGTATAATGTAATAAGTAAAGTAATGTGGTATTCACAACTTTAAGAACAATTCCTCCAGAATACAAGGCTATTTGAATTTAATGCAGATGATAGAAGGGGTGAATGAAAAAGAACCACGTTTACTTTTTGTGCATATACAGCAACGCAGTTATATTAGTCTGACAGCATGTCCATGATATTTGTATAACGCCAAATAATTAATTAATATTCATGAGATTGTATGATGCAGCTTTCACATTTCCCCCAGAGCAGACAATGAAAAGGGCATCTGGCAATAAAGTTCATTAATGTATTAATTAATAGGCTACAATTTGCAAACCGGTGTTCGTAAACAATAAAAAAGCGTACTCAAATAAATATTCAATAACATGACATCCCCCGTGAAAACACCTTCACGATTCACTGACAGCCTGCGCGTGCTCGTGCAACGTTTGAACAGGTCTTCTTCATTAGACCAAACGAGATGAACTTCAAACGGCCTGGGATTTTCATATAGTCCAGATATTTAGTCATTTGATATAATTGTATCGCCACTTTAACAGATCACTCTTACAAACATGAACGAACGATTTCACGTCAACGGATGCAACTAGCAACTTACATCTGCCTACACAGTCACGATGATGATCGCGAGGCGATTGAAGTCGTAAGACAAATGCTTAGAAAGCGACAATGTAATGTTCTCCTTTGTTAATGAAGTGCACGAACTAGTGCGAGGTTGCATCGTTGTAGCCTATGCAACGAACAATAGCCCGCGTGACCGAGAGACCCGCGCAAACTTACCTTAGGTGCATACGTGCAGTCGTTTCGAGATGATAGTCGCCGATGAACGAATACAAACGGCGTGAGAGCGAATAAAACAGACATTTCCGTAAACCCCTCCTATCCTATTGCAAGTGGTCACCCATCACCAGCGGATGGGACAACCCTCCTCCTCCCCCCATCCTCCTCCTCTATGGGACTCTGGCTTTGACAGTGTGCTGTGATCCTCCTGACACTCCTATTCCCTCCAATTATCTGTCTGTCTATCTATCTATCTATCTATCTATCTATCTATCTATCTATCTATCTATCTATCTATCTATCTATCTATCTATCTATCTATCTATCTATCTATCTATCCATCCATCCATCCATCCATCCATCCATCCATCCATCCATCCATCCATCCATCCATCCATCCATCCATCCATCCATCCATCCATCCATCCATCCATCCATCCATCCATCCATCCATCCATCGAATGTTTTTTCTTTCTGTCTGTTCATCCTTCTTTTCAATATATAATTATTTATTATTAATTTCAGATCTGAGTTTTATGCTGCCTGTCACAACTCTCTTTTGGCCCTCATCAGGAACCTGATTTAAATATACAAATGCTTAAGACCCTATTATTGGATCATTATTGCAGTAATTTTTATTTTTCTAGCATATTATATGTTTGGCAGCTGTTCTTCCAAACCTAATAGCTTTTCATTTCTTAAACAACCAGGAAGACACATCATGGCCATATTCCAGGATGACAATGTCAAGATATATCAGGCTCAAATTGTGAAACGGACATGAAGAACCATTTACAGTACACACATGAATCCAGACCTTAAATTCATTGTAAGTCTTTAGGATGTGCTGAGGAGATTGAGAAGAGTGCTGGACTCTTGCATTGTCAATACAAGATCTTAAACAAACATTGATGCATCTCTTCCAATCATAGATCAAATCAGGAAATTGTTTTGGCCAGGCAGTGTATTATCAAACATGTCTATCACAAGCATATGGCTAAATTTACAGTTTATCTTAATTACTTGGGCACATTTTTGAAACAGTCTTATTCTCTAAACTGTGCTCAATTGTCACAAACCTAGTTATTGTGTTAGTAAACTGGCCAAAGCCACCAAAAAAAAAAAAAAATGTTTTTGTCACTGTGTGAGCCACACTGGTCAAAATGTTTAGACGTTTTTTCACTATGGAAGTATTTGTTATAATGATTTTTTTTTCTACTTTTTTAATTGGTACTGTCTGCACTATACAAGAATGACAGTTTTGTCTAGCTGAATGTTCTTGTGTATCGTGAGCTTTTAGATTCAGATTTCAACAGTAGGTCAAATTCTATAAGTAAAAGTCAATACTGTATGCTAGTACAGAAAAAGAAAATGGACATTTGTTCACACTTTATATTAGATGTCCTCAACTATGCACTTAGGCCTACATAAAAAAAAAAAACAAGTACAGTGTATATTGTTTAACAAAACAGTCCTGTTCCCCATGTACATATAGGCTACTAATTATAGTAAATACGTACAATAACAGGGTAAAAACCCTGAACCTACCTCTTGTTAATTTTTATACATTCTATTATGCCTACACCACCACACAGAGATCTGAACTTATTGTTTTGAGAGAAATAAAAATCTCATTTGAGAATTGAGCCAAAGCGATTGAAAAATTCTGTAAACTGAAAGTTAAATTAGCTTAAAAGTTACTATCCGCGGACATAACCGTGTCTATAAAAACGCGCAGTCATGTTTGCATGATCTTCCATAGAGCATTCATCTCTATACAGCCTCTGTAGTTGCTTTATATGTTGTGCTTGAGGCACATCACTAAACTTACAAGGGGGAAAAAAGCGCGACCAAATTGGTGATGCACACGGCCAGTGTTACCTGTTGAGTAATTATAGAATTAAGTAAAAAAAGAACGAGTAAAATTTGGTAAATGAATGAAATAAATATATCAGAGGATTACCGGGCTGTTTCCAGGCAACGGTTGTGAGGTATGAGATTCATGGCCACTGGAGGGCCCTTCCTAACCAACTGCCATTTTTAGAAGAACTATCCTGTATCTCTCCAGTGTCACCAAATTATGAGCATTATCATTTATGACAACTAATCCAGAATGATTTTTTAGAGGTGCTTAAATACGCGTATTCATTGATATTGTCTAAAAGTAATCATGCCTCTCTTATAAATGATGCTGTTGTATTTCAAATGCTTCTCAGATTGACAATCCTGGCAGCATTTCTATGCCACTTCCCTCTTTAAGTAGAATATGTGCCATTTAGGACATTATTGTAAAGGTATCTATATTTGAAAACATGCACCGAATATATTACAAGACATTTCTTATCTGCTGTAGGACCCTCTGAAGACAGTCTTCCTCCTCTTTAATAATCATCATTCAGTCTGGCCGCTTTGATCACGCTTAAAAATAGAGCAGAACTCCCCAGGGGAGGTCATTACCGAGTGGCACCGCCACCGTTATAGGGCCACTGTCTGCGGAGCGCTCATTTATTTATTTGAACCTGAGCACAAAAGTAGTGCTCGGAGAAAGACACAACTCAGCAGGATGGGTCGTCTTCCTGTCTTCAGCCTGGGTTTCTCAGGGATTTTGTCATTTAATCCCTCCATCATTAAAGTATTGAATATTTTTGAAACTTTAGCCATTTGCTTGCAATACATTACAGTATGCAGTCTGGATATTTGTTGGATAAGTGTTTATCTAATGTGGTCTACTATCAACAGGGACTGATGCCTTGAAGAATGCAAAAGCATCATGAAAATAGTCAAAATGACTAATACTGTTTTTTGAATAATGCTTATTGAATTTTTAAACTAATGCAAAGTTCTGTCATGAAATACTAGATGGCTTAGACTAAGAGATCCTTAACTCAATCTACTCGTATCACTTCATTCTCTATTGGACACAGCTGATTAGTTCCTGCTGTATCAGTGGCCAATGACTTGCTCAACCTTCATATACTGCAATGTTTTCTGTAGCAGTTGCAGCACGCTTTTAGAAACCCTCCATCTTCTCCAGCTCTGTACAGTCTAAAAAATGCTGGGTTGTTTTAACCCAACTTTGGGTCAAATATGGACTAACCCAGCCGTTGGGTTAAATTTTTACATTACATTTTTAACCCAACATTTCGGGTTTGTCCATATTTGACCCAAAATTGGGTTAAAACAACCCAGCATTTTTTAGAGTGTATATATCTGCTATGGGTAATTCAAGTATATGGTAATTTGTACAGCAGCAGCATTTCTTACTCACTCACAGCAGCAGCAATAACAACAACAGCAGAAGCAGCATAGCAGATCTGTTCTGCCAAGACCAAATATATCAGTCACATTGTCCATTACCACTCCAAGAGTTGTCATGACAGAACTGTATTCATTTTGGTACAAACTACCTATTATGAATGGTATGAAGCCCCGACTAAAGGGATATTGTGATGGAAAAAATATGAGATGGGAGGAAAAAAAAAATGTATTAAGTAAAAAAAAAAAAAAAAATTAGACCCAAAAGTTTCTCAGGGGAATGCAACATTTTTTGCCAGAGAATGCAAAAGTGTTGACTTATTTTTTGTCCCATCTCTTTTTTTTTCCCACCACCATATCCCTTTAGGGGCTCCATAGTACGGTTATGTTCACAGATACGAAAGTTACATGAGGACAAAATGGCTTATTTATATTAGACATATAGAATACATTCTTTTAAATGATGTGTACTTTTCTTACTCATTTGGCAAATTGGCTGATCTAATTTTAAGAATTGATGTAATATTATGCATCAATATATACTGTATTGAATAGTTTGTGTGTGTATATATATATATATATATATATATATATATATATACACACACACACACACTACCGGTCAAAAGTTTTAGATCAGTAAGATTTTTTTTATGTTTTTAAATGAAGTCTCTTCTGCTCACCAAGGCTGCTTTATTTGATGAAAAAAATAAATGACAAACAGTAATTTTGTGAAATATTATTACAAGTTAAAATGACTGTTTTCTATTTTAATATATTTTAAAATGTAATTAGAAAGCTGAATTTTCAACATCATTACTGTATTACACATCAGTTTTCAGTGTCATCCTTCAGAAATTATTCTAATATGCTGATTTTATGCTCAAAAAACATCAATTATTATTTTCAATGTTGTAAACAGTCATGTACCATTCCCCCCCCAAAAATTCTATGATGAATAGAAAGTTCAAAAGAACAGCATTTATTTAAAATATAATCTTTTCTAACATTATAAATGTCTTTACTGTAACGTTTGATCAATTTAACTCATCCTTGATGAATAAAAGTATTTTCTAATTTCTTTCCCCCAAAAAAAAAAAAAAAAAAAATTCTTACTGAGCCCAAACTTTTGAATGGTAGTGATTAATGTTAAAAAAGCTTTCCATTTCAGATCAATTCTGTTCTTTTGAACTTTCTATTCATCAAAGAATTCTGAAATAAACATGTAAAAAAACTGTTTTCAACATGGATAATAATCATAAATGTTTCTTGAGCATCATATTATAATAATTTCTGTAGGATCATGTGACACTGAAGACTGGAGTAATGATGCTGTAAATTCAGCTTTGATCACAGGAAAAAATTACACTTCACTATATATTCACATAGAAAACCGCTGTTTTAAATTGTAATTATATTTCACAATATTACTGTTTTTTATTGTTTTTTTTTGTTTTGTTTTTTTATCAAATAATTGCAGCCTTGGTGAGCAGAAGAGACTTCTTTTAAAAACATAAAAAATCTTACCGATCTAAAAATTTTGACTGGTAGTGTATATACAGTATATACAGTATATACACAGTACACACACAAGACAAATCGTATTTGTTTTGTTTAATTTAATATTTTTTTATAGAAAATCTTAATTTAAGTTACAGTACACAATCTCGCTTCTTCTCAAGTATACAGTATGTATCTTGTTTGACATTATGTTTAATTGTTTTTACTAGAAAAAAAGACATTAATATGTAGAAAATTAGGTTTTAATTGTAACATATAGTAGCTGAAATAGGAGGATCTTAAAACTAAAATGGAGGCCGATTCCTATTATACAAATCCAGTCCAAATTACCAAAAATCCCTTATGAAGACATTAGCAGGAGACCACTCTGGGATTCTGAAGACCAAGACCTCCATTGCCTTTTCACTTTAAAAAACCCTGACATGTTCAGGATAATCAATTGATATTGACAGACAATTTAGGTCCAACAATCCAGAAAAAGTCTTTCTTTTTCATACCTATCCTATTGAAGCTTCAAGTGATTTCTCAGCTGGTCTCTGTTCAAACTCCTACAATAGTTGCCACCTCCATATATGAAATCATTTGTTATCCATCTAGCATGTAACATCTTTACTCTCTCCACTGGCATCCAGTATCTGCAGCAAACAAAATGTATGATTTGGTTACTCAAATAGTATTTGGTCACTGAAAATGACAAAATGATGACAACAAAAAAGAGAGAAAAAAAAAGTGTATTTAATTCATATAATCAAATGGATCCTGTTTGAAAGTCCTAAACAGAATCAAAGGTCACAAATGTATATCAAAAACATGAAAATCGAGAGTCTAACCTCAGAACAGAAACAGAAAACCTTATGATCCATAATCCTTTATAAAATATTAATGACAACACCAGTAGTGTGAACCAGAACACCATGCCTTTCAGGTGAAATTGGATCTCAGATATTGCATTTACGCCATAGCCTATATTGAATTACATAACACTCATGTGATATTAGTGTTTCATAAGCTTTGATATGTAATTATGTCAGTTATAAGAAAAGAAAATGTTTCAAGAATGGCATGCATCACAGTTTTAATAAAAAAGACTAACTGTAATAAACAAAAGAAGATTCTATAATCAATGGAAGGCTGTTTATAATTGTATTCTGCACACATTTTCTTCCTTTTTCTACAAACTTGAGGATGTACAGCAAGGAATGAAGGAACAGAACAGCAGGAAAATGTCTGCTTTGGTAAACTGATGTAAACATTTACAAGTTCAATGTTAAAGCTTAATGGGTCCAATCCATAACTGACATGCAAAAAACAAAGGCATCAGCAAAAACACTCGATTGACTGCCATGGTTACCGTGCTTCTGTTTTCAAACACGAAGCGTGGCTTTAACTCTAGTGGCATTGTTAGTCAATTAATTATCCTTCATAACTGGTAGAGCAAAAGCATCATCATTAATAATTTAACCAAGGTAGTCGAGTACTAACAATGCAAGATTATTATTATTTTTTTTTTTGCATTTAAATTCATTGGCTTGCAAAATGACTTCTTAACCATTGTGTGAATCTCACAAAAATATATTTTCATAAATCACCCCATATATATGCACTTTTATGTATAAAGGCACTTCAAACATTACCACCAAGAAGTATACATGTATTTTAAATAATGAACAATTTTTCCATTATGTTTAAGAAAACAAGTACGTTAATGAGGGGGTGGGGGGAATTTGAAATTTAATATAACAAAAATAACTTAAATGGTCCTAAAACAGGCTTAATTTTAAGTAAATATTATGGCCTTTTTTTTTTTTGCTTTTGATTTGAGTGAAATATGGCTCAAACTCTACATTACAGGTTTTGAGAGATTCAGCCTTTAAGTTGTGCTGTTTAAATTACTTTCTATAAATGCATCCTCACATTGAAGGAAATCATTGTATATACAGAGTGCATAGGCTGAATGAGTATTGTGTATTGTGAAAAGGCAGAAGCAGAGAAACAGAGCAGATGTGACCGAGAGTAAAACAAAGCAATGGACACAGTCTCTGTCAAGGCCTGGGTTCATTAGCATTACCACGGGAAACTATTTCAAGTTTCATCATTTATAGTGTCGTGATGTACTTTCTCCAGGTGGGTTTTACCACTGTTCCCAGCTGAAGTCATCTCCACGCCCGAATGTCAGGAAGAAACCCAGAATGGTCAGAAAAATGACAGTATTGCCTCCCATTACCAGGCCACAGGCGCCCCACTTGATCTGCAGAGGAAGAGTGGCATTCGTTTCATTCATGGGGACATATTTTATTCAGTGTACTACCTGGTAAAACCAATCCGCTGTTTTAGAAAGAATATTCTGCCTGTGTAGTGTGTATGCTTTTGAACCATTTTGAGGACTATATGCAATCTGAACAAAAATGGAATGAAATTTAATGTGCTTCCACAGTTTTTTTCCCCTCTTGTACAAAATCAGAATTATTGCTATAACATCAGATATTACTGAACACGCAAGAAATAATGTTTTAATGAACAGAAGAATATTTTTAAAACTATTAAAGGGATAGTTCACCCCAAAATGAAAATTCTGCCATTAAAGGGACACTCCACCCATTTGTATTAAAGGGATAGTTCACTTTGAAATACATTTTTTGATATGTTTTAGCTTACCTCAAGGGCATCCAAGATGTAGGTGTCTTTGTTTCCACAGTATTTTCAATTTTGATATTTTTCGGTCAAACGGCTGTTGTCTATCAGTCATATAATGCAGGTTTAGGGGGGTTCACCTCAAAGAGCATGCACAGAGAAGTCAAAATTAAACATGATTTTAATGACTCGTGAATGTAAGTACACATTGATGGCCTAAGACACGAAACAAGCGGTTTGTGTGAGAAAACGAACAGTATTTATAGTTTTTACCTCTTGTAAACAGCCGTCGAACTGATCTAAATCAGATGTTCAACTGAAACGAACTGAACCGTAACCTACGTTACGCCGGAAGTGATCTATCGCGCGTCTACATCACGCAATGTTTACACGGAGATTTCGGAAGTTTTACCTTTCACTAAACAAATTTAGATATACGGGAAATCGTCTTCCATTGCGATTTCCCGTATATCTAAATATGTTTAGTGAAAGGTAAAACTTCCGAAATCTCCGTGTAAACATTGCGTGACGTAGACGCGCGATAGATCACTTCCGGCGTAACGTAGGATAAGGATCAGTTTGGTTCAGTTGATTCTGATTCAGATCAGTTCGACATACCTGTTAACAAGAGGTAAAAATTATATAAATACTGTTCGCTTTCTCACAAAAACCGCTCGTTTCGTGTCTTAGGCCATCAATGTGTACTTACATTCACGAGTCATTAAATCATGTTTAATTTTGACTTCTCTGTGCATGCTCTTTGAGGTGAACCCCCTAAACCTGCATTATATGACTGACAGACAAGAACGGTTTGACCGAAAATTGTCAAAATCGAAAATACTGTGGAAACAAAGACACCTACATCTTGCATGCCCTTGAGGTAAGATAAAACATAGCAAAAATTGATTTCAAAGTGCACTATCCCTTTAAGCTTTCCATTGTACTGTATGTATGTTCGTGCAACACTCTCTCATTTTCCCCTGAGATGAGAGAAATCTGCTATTTACCTTTTTCACTTCCTCCTACAATTATGCAAAAATCGTCATTTTACGTCATTGTAGGAGGAAGTGTAATGGGGGGGGGGGATTTCTGTAAAGACTACAAGCACTAGATCCCACCCTTTCAAACCCGTCCATAGGGGGTTGGACTTAATGCGCTAACAGACCTATCACAGATCAGTGCCAGTGCGTCTGATTTCACCGGCAGAAACTTTTTGAAAATATGGACGAAGCTACTGAATACGCAGACGGATGCATTATGGAGGATTGGGATTACACATAGTGTCAGCCATCTTTTTTGGAAGCTAAGCTAGCAGGCTCTTGTTCTGTGGAGAAAGCCGAGTAGTAACTTTAGGGGTTACCGTCCTCTTTTTCCCGGACATGTCCGGCCGTCGATATCCGGGATTCAGATTTTGCTTTCTGTGGTCGCCATTCATTGTTTACATGCACAGCTTTTGTTTCAATCTAACTGAATTCATTTCGATTGGTCAATCTGAATGTAGTGTTTACATGAATGCTAAGTGATCGGTTAATGTGCGTTTAAACATTGCTAAGAAAATTCCCGCTCCTCCGTTAAAGATACGAGCCTAGACTTGTTGTTTAACTAGTGCGCGGTTACCGGTAGGCGTGGCCTCCTAGGGCAGTGAAGCAGGTGCACTCTGGTAGTTGTTGTCTTTCATCCACATAAGCCAAAAATAAATTTTCTACTGTATTTTCTCCAAAATTCAAAAATAATTTCACATTTCTTCTACATTTAAATTACCCATTTTAAATGCACATTCATCTTTCCAGAGGTGGAGTGAACCTTTAATTACCCACCCTCATGTACCCGCAAGACTTTTGTTAATCTTTGAAACAGAAATGAATATGTTTTGGATGAAATCTGAGAGATTTCTGTCCCACAAGAATGAACCTCATACGTGCTGAGTTCTTGTAAATTGGACAAAAAGACGTAGGTACAAGATTGTGTAAGAATGTACTGTATAAGGTATGTGAGCTAGCTGAATTAACATCATTTTTATTAATATCTTTCACATCTACTGCAGTCAGATTGACCGCGGTCCTTCTTAATAACACCGCTCACATGGCTATGCACTCGTAATGACAAATCAAGGATGTACTGTAGAGGCTAAAAGCAGCTTTAGAACATGCCCCATTGAAGTCAACAGGGTGCGAATTTTAAAAAGAGGATAACACGGTGTAGGCAACACCGATTTTTGTCGTTTTTGTCTGTACTGACAGCACTCCAAATAAAATGTGAAAAAAAAGAGCTCAATGTTAAAATTGACCGGAGTTCTCCTTTAAGGTTGTTTTTCACCAGTAATAATGCTGTTAAACATGTTTTGTTTTGTTTTTATAAGCAAAAATAATGCGGGCTGACGTCTTCAGCAGAAGCAAATACAACCATACCAAATACCAAATACCAAATACTTCCGAAACCCGTTGCACTTTATGTTCAGTACTATAATTCAAATACATCCAAAATAACATTTTCAAAATAAATATAGAAATTAAAGTAACACTGTCCAATAGGGTCCCATTGGTATTAAACAATACAGTTATTACAGTAATTATTCATCTTTGTAAGCGTTAGTTCATAAATATGAAACTGTTTATTGTTAGTTCATGTTAGCTCAGGTCCATTTAATATTATTAAAAACTTGTATCTACTTTGCATTTTAATAATGTAGGCCTATTAAATGTTGAAATTAATAAGATTAATACATATGCTTTATAAGTATTCTTCATGTTAACTAATGTAGTTACGACTGTAAGAATGGTTTTCTGAGAAGGGGAACGAGACACTGCATCATGGAGTTATGGGATCACTCCTTGTGAATCGGTGTCTGAAGCACGTCGATCTTGATTGGCTACTGAGGTCGGGTAACGTCACAGGTGCGCACGCAGGGCACATAAGGGCGCCTAGAGAGGAAGTCATCAACTTCAATTGTCTTTGGACTGAGAGTTTGGAAAAAGAGACCGCAACCGGCCCATGCGAACAAGGATAAATATATAAAGGGCTTTAAATGTAGTCACACAATGGTGATATTGTTAACATGAACAATTTGAGGACAAAATATAATTAGCATGGTTTGACATGATATGATAAGCTATTGTATCAGCGCGATTCACTGCTATGCTTTCCCCCCCCTCGTTTCGTCAGAAGAACAAAAGTGGATGTTACTTGTTCAATTACATTTTCCGGTGAAAATTCTTATGTTGGTCATATTTCCAAAAAGTAAAATCTGTGATTCTGAATGACAGTATCCACACCGATGCAGTGATTGACAGCTGCACATACTCCTCAAAACATTGGATTCATCCGCGCTGTGCCACGCCGAGGTATAACTCACATAAAGTTAATTCCGCGAGTGGCTGCAATTGCAGAGTTTGAACAGAGATGGCGACAAAGAAGAAAAACTACGGACTGCAGCTTTAAGTTGTTGCTACGGTCAGTGACAGTCTTTGTCACCATCTAATGGTACAATAATGTAACTTTTACTGAAGTCGAAATCACAATCATCTCAATACCAAATACGGCATGTTATTTCTATAAAATGACATTTATTGGAAAATAATATAGAAGTAACAAAATTAGTCATTATAAAAGTATTAGAAGATTCTACAATAGGAAATAAACAAGCAGACAGTTCAACCAAAAGTACAAACACAGTGCTAGTAATAGAACATAATAGAAATACACAAAATTAAGTATACCTCACGTTTAAACTATCAACATATAGGCCAATGGCGAATTCCCAAAGGACTGGCCAAGACAAAGCTTGTTCTCGGCGGGTACACGAGTGCTGAACGCTGATCAGATTCGAGGCCCAGAACGAACTGGTTTATAAAAAATAATAAATACTTATAGAAATAATAAATAAAATAATGGTCCAAAAAATTATTATTTCGTTTTGTGTGTTATTTTATAAGCTTAGGTTAAATGTGACATGGATATGTTTTTACTCTATGATGTATAGGCTCCATATCACCAACCCTGTCGAAATGTTTAGAATGAAAAAGATAAATATATTGTGTACTCACCACAGTTGATCTTGCAAGAACAATGGGGAGCCCATAGGCTGACACCACGATTCCAGTGGTTAAGAAGTACGCAAGCTCCCTGCATGCATTGCTTGACTCTGTGTCATCTGCATGCCTCTTAGCTATTAAATTTGGTATAGGTGACAGAATGTAGAAGATCAGGACAAACATGGGCCAGTACTGTCTGTGAGGAAAAAAGCAAAAGTTATATTATTGGATTTCTGCACTTCAGTCAAGTAAAAATTCTTACAGATGGCAAAAATTTGGACCTACCCAAAATCCTTTATTGCACATCCCAAAAGGAGAAGGGTCAGTCCAAGTGCACCACTGAAGGACAACGCAACAAGAGCTGAAAGCAATAAAAACCCAGATCAATCAAAACTGAAACAGTGTGTAAATGTTGCCCCCTTGCGGCAACAGTTCGCAACTGCAGATATGACGTACTTGAAGTAAATAGACTGTAAATAAATGAATTCTGTCATTTTTTAAATGTATAATATAATTTCTTAAGGCAATTTTCATTGGTTAATTACTGAATTAAAGACTGGAGCACAACAGTAAAAGTAACTTACTAAAGTAAAAGTAGCCTAAACCTTTAAAACTTGAACCCTAGTTGACAACTTTACCATATAGCAACATAACACCTAACAGACTTTACTTAACCAATCGACACCATTTGCAATTATATGTTTACTTTGATGCAAAGGTTCACAATCGGGAGTTTACACTCAACAGAGTTTCAAAAGCAGATCGAAAGCAAATGCAGTCGTAAAATGATCGGCGTGGTTTTGTGTAAAATATTGTTAAGAGTTAATCATATCAAGAGTTACGGTTTAACTTCACCTTTTATTCCTGCCATCACTCGCAAACGCCTTTTGTTTTTAGATCTTTGTGCTAAATGTTATGGACTGACTTCCTATTTCCTCTTCAACTACTGAGCCACCCTTAAAGGAGCAGAGCCTTTTAAAATCCACGAGATGAGCATTCACTGATCCGAAGCTAAAGAACAAGTACAACAACACCGATATTGATAGTCAGTATGTCTGTCTGTCTGTCTGTCTGTCTGTCTGTCTATCTGTCTGTCTGTCTATCTATCTATCTATCTATCTATCTATCTATCTATCTATCTATCTATCTATCTATCTATCTATCTATCTATCTATCTATCTATCTATCTATCTATCTATCTATCTATCTATCTACATCATCTGTGGCTGTACAGTAATAATAATAATACATATTATAATTAAAAATGTTAAAATAAATGAAGGTCTAAAATGCAAAGTATTATTGGGAAAAACTGAAACACTAAAAAATGTATGAACAAAAGTTAAACCAATCAAAATGTCAATCCGAGAATATTTGGGGAAATTATTTCAACACATTTCTTACTGTAATCATAACCATAACCATAACCTTTTTTCTTCCTGAAAAATTACGTAAAGGGTGTAAAAAGATCGTATAGTGTTAACTTCAGTGTTAAAAGTGTTACTGTAACAGTATGACAAATAAAGTTGACGTCAAGTGAGGGAACCGTCAAGCAGCCAATCAGGATCTGCGTGTTGCTCACGTAATTTATAAGAATCTCATCATGTTTCCTCGGAAGTGAATCGCTTTCTGAGAATCTGATCTTGACTCGTATTGGACCGTAAGGTAAAATCTACTAACATTATTTATATTATTTATAAGATAATAGACTTTGCTATAATATTCCAGACACACCGACGACATCCACAACCATTTGTGTTAGTCGTGAATTGAGCGTTTCCTCAAACTTTCATTTTCTATTAAACTGCATGTAAAGACTCCAGGTGTTCGTAAAGACAAGCTTTACTGTCTTTTACTGTATTTTAAAGAGGAAATGTTGTTATACTGTGTGTTTGTGCGTGTTATATATATATATAGGCCTATATATATATATATATATATATATATATATATATATACTGTATATATGTGTGTGTGTGTGTTATATATATATATATATATATATATATCCTTTTTACTAATGTGTTCTGTATTTTTTAGGTATAGAAAATGCCCAGCACCTCATTAATATAGTGCTGAGCACTGCAGAAAAAGTCAGTCATGGCCTCGTCGATATTACAGGGACTCGAGGTCCATTTTTACCTGCCAGAGAGACACCAGATTATTCATCTCTCAGGTAGATTCACAGCAGAGGAACTGTGTATTGAAGCTGCTAAGAAGATGGGTACGTTTTCAGCCTTTGTACAACATGAACATTGTATTACGACAGATAAATAAGACAAACTCACTGTTGTCTCATTGTTACAGGTATATCTCCTTTGTGCCACAGTTTTTTTGCCCTGTATGATGAATATAGCAAGCTGTGGTATCCGCCCAATTACTCCTTTAATATTGATGAGACAACCAGACTGAAGCTTTTTTATCGCATGAGGTACTCCTGTTCAGTCTTTTCTCATCTGGTTTTCCTTCCCAGTTTCATGAAACTAACCGTAAAACAAATGCACTGTAAATAAATTGCCCTAATTTCTTCATAATTTTGACTTTTAATCTCATATTTATGACTAGAATGTCATAATTTCAACTTTTTATCGCATAACCTTTTTTATATCTAGCGTATGTCCTAATTTTTATGAAAATAATCCATGAGGTGCCCGATTTGTTCCCAAATGCTATTGCGGGCTGTCAAGAGTATAGGCAAAACACTGTACATATATTTGAACTTTTCCCTATTTACATTATAACCACATTTTTGGGACAGGTTTTATTTTACGAACTGGCATGGGAACATTAAGACGTCTCCTGCAGTGTGCAGACACTCTCTTAAACGAGGGATGGGGTCTACGAGCTCAGCTGTGCTGGATGCAGCTTCACTAACGTACCTTTACGCACAGGTACGGTGACAAAAAAAAACTGACAATGTTAAAGGACGGGTTGTTCAAGAAAGCTGTGGCTTCTCATTTTAATGTGTGTTTGTGTTTGACAGAGTCAGAATGACTTTCAGAGTGGTCTGGCACCGCTGCGTAGTGTTTGCAATGAGTATGACACCCAGCAGATAGAAAATGAGTGTTTGGGTATGGCTGTGATGGCCATCACCCATCATTCCATTGAAAAAGATCTTCCTGTCTGTGAATTTGAGTAAGAGCTTTTTATTTCTTTTTCTTTTAAGTCTGAAATACATTTTAAAATATAAATAAATGTTTTTCTAAAATATATATTTTTCATGGCTGAGACTATAGGCTATATTAACAAACATCAATATATTTATTTTTGTTATATTGTGTTTATTTATTTGTATGTCAAATTGCATGATGGACACACACACACACACACACATATATATATATATATATATATATATATAATATGTGTATTAGCTTTTATAAAGTATACAACCATATTCATTTAAATTAATATGGGATGTGCTTGTTTAATTAGTAATTCAAACTAATATGGTCAATGAATTTCCTTTATTTAAAAAAAAAAAAAAACACAAATTAAACTAAATAAAAGTTAAGTATATTTAAAAACAAACATACACAAATGTTATTAATGTATTATTGTTATTAAGAATTAATTATTAAGCCTTTATTTGTTTTAGAAAAATAATTAAACTAAATTAACAGTTGACCTTCATAGTTTTGATATATGTTTAGACTCAGTATTGTTTTAAAAGATATCCTAATGAGTTTTTATTTCTGATCCCCTTTTAGATGAGATCACAAATATAATGTTGAATCATCCCACATTTCACCCCCATGTGATGATCTAAGAAACGATTTTAACATTAATGCGTCATTTTATAACTATTAAAGTGTATCTGTATCTTTTAATGTTACATTTTATCTTTGTCAGGTACAAAAATTACATTCCCTGGGCCCTATACCAATCCATACGTCACAGGAACATTCTCACACGTCTTCGCATCTCCAACGTCTTCAAAGATTTCCTTGAGGAATTCAACAGGAATACTGTGGAAGGCAACAGGATCAGTACGCATGACCTGAAGGTCAAATACATATTGACTTTAGAGACTCTAACTAAACACTTCGGCCAGGAGGTGTTTAAACCCTTTTCCCTTATCATACATGACAATGAGCAAATACTCACAGACTCCAGCTGTGCTGCTGGTGTTGACCACAAAATCCTGGTGTCTGGCAACTCTGGCATCCACTGGTGTAAAGTCAGCTCTGTGGTAAGAAGTCCATAGTACAAATAATATCTGAATAATAATATAATATAATAACACAATAACAAGTTAATGACTTCTGAATTGTAGTGTAGGTGCTGAGGTTTAACACTTTGGTGGTTTAGGGCTTTGTTGAAACACCTCTTGACAATAAGTTTCCCTTTTCACAATTTCAAATATTTGTTTCCAAGGCCTGTTCAGATCTGTGTACCAATAAGAAGAAGCATAAATCAAAGAGAGACCGTAAGAAACTGACTAAAGAAGCATCATATGATCCAGGAGAGGATAGATGGACACTCTTTTCAGACTTTAATGAGATAACGCATCTTGTCATCAAAGGCTGCGTGGTTACCATCCACAAACAAGACAACAAAAGCATGGTGAGGCTCACTGTGAGATCTGTAATCTGTCAGTTTTGGTTTATTTAAGATAAGTCATAAACTTCATTACCCCTTTTTTTTATATTCAGGAGCTGACGTTGGCGTCCCACGAGGAGGCGCTGTCCTTTGCCAGTCTTGTAGATGGATACTTTAGGCTCACAGTAGATGCACATCATTTCCTCTGCAGGGATATTGCTCCTGTCTCATTGGAAATTAACCTACAAGACGGCTGTCATGGTCCAATCAAGTTAGTACATTCACTCATCGTTTTTAAAGGGATACTCCACCGTTTTTTCTCACCCTTAACTAAACGAGTTTATACATACCTCTGTCGTCTCTGGCGCGCGAGACACTTTGATAGCACTTAACTAGCCCAGTTCATTCAATATGGGCCAAGCAGAGAAGTGAGCAAACACCTTAAATAAAAACCTTGGATTATTTTGGTTATTTTCTATTAGTTTGCTGAGGTGCTCAGCCCTGGCCATTTTAAGAGCCTTTTTATAACGTGACATACTGTCTTTCCACGCGATTCTAAAGACGTCTAAATTAGTTTTTTTCCATTTACGCTCTAAATTTCGGGTTTCTCTCTTTAAACATGCGTAGTATTATTGTACCATGGTGCTATACTTTTTTTCTCTGACCTTTTTTAATCTAATGGGTGCAACAATATGCAATGTTCTAGAGAGAATGGAGCTCATAGTGCTAGTTAGTTCATCTAGTTCGTCTAGTTCATTGATACAGAGGTGTGTATCAACTCGTCTTAGTTAAGGGAATAACATAGTTTAATATGAAAAAATGGTGGAGTATCCCTTTAAAGAAATAGTTCACCCAAAAATAACCCAAACCTGTATGACTTTCTTTCTTTTGTGAAAGACAAAAACATTTTTTAAGGAATATTCATAGTGATTTTTTCCATTCAATGAAGTCAGACTGTAATCAGGGTTTTGAATCTGAAAAATATATTTTTTTAAGGAACAGACTAAACTTTTATTGAGTATTCATTCACCAATAAATGTTCCCTCCGCTGTAGCTCTCAAATATGTATTTTTGATTATTTAAAGCTGAATTTGTTCAACAGAATTTTGAAAGTTTGTGGCCAGTAATATTTATTTTTTAAAGAAATTAATACATTTATTCTGCAAATTCACCAAAAGTGACAGTAAATACATTTGTAATGTTAACAAACTCGTGCATGACACGGCTTTCTAAAACGCAGCACTCAAGTTAAAACAACTTTTAAAAATGGCTTTTCTAGACCTGCACTAAACTACACCTGTGTGAAGGCCCATAAAAGATTAAAAGATAAACAGCGCACGCTTATTTCAGTGCTGTTATTTAAGACGACAGTTTGCCTCGTTCATTCAATTTCAGTTTAAAGGAATACTCCACCATTTTTTCATATTAAACTATGTTATTCCCTTAGGACGAGTTGATAACATACCTCTCTCGTCTCAGTGCGTGCACTCAATCGCTCTGGCGATGTATGGTAACGAAGTAGAACTACTTAAAAGGTTAGTTCACCCAAAAATGAAAATTAAGTCATTAATTACTCACCCCCATGCTGTATCAACCCTGTCGTGGAAATCTAAGGAAGTCTCGTTTCAGGCCTACAAGGAAGAAAAGGAATAGTCGAATAAAGTTGTTATTTTTGTTTGTTTTTTTCGCACAAAAAGTATTCTCGTCGCTTGATAAACTTATAGTTGAGCCACGGTAGTCACTTGGGATATTTAAACATTTTCTTCATTGACTTTCTGGGCCGTCAAGAGGCAGTCCCTTAGGAGCCAATGTGGTAGTGAGACAGCTCTCAAATTTAATCAAAAATATCTTCATTTGTGTTCCGAAGACGAACGAAGGTCTTACGGGGTTGGTACAGCATGGGGGTGAGTAATTAATGACTTAATTTTCATTTTTGGGTGAACTAACCCTTTAAGTACTGTACTTAAGTACTAAAATGCTGTATCTGTACTCTACTAGAGTATTGTTTTTTTCCCTCATACTTCTACTTTTACTTCAGTAGATATTTTCGATGAATTTAATACTTTTACTTCGATATTTTTTTAATGTTCTGCTAGTTACTCGTTACAATTATAGAAAATTTTACGAATCATTCGTTGCAAGTTGGCTTTCGTGCTGCCTAAATCACACACCAGTTTTATAGGGTAATGGTATTGATTGACACACACATTGACAACTAATGCAGGGGTTGTCCTGCAATGACATTTTTTTGGCGACCGCCAAAGCAAATTTGTATCCCGCCAAAGGCCTTATTTGATTGCTAGTTCAAACTTTTGACTGCTTTCTTTAATAATTACATGACACTTGTACTTTTACTTTTAGTACTGAAGTAGTGAATTTTAAAATAAACTACTTGTAATCCTTAAGTACAAAAAATGTTGAATACTTTAGTACTTCTACTTAAGTGTGGTGGTTAAAGAGCACTTCAACTTCTACTCAAGTCACTTTTTTGATAGAGCACTTGTACTTTTACTCAAGTCTGGGTTTCTAGTACATCTCTGCGTGTGAGACACTTTGATAGCAACTTTGAATTAATTTAGCCCATTCATTCATTAGGATCCAAGCAGAGAAGCGATCAAACACCTCTACATTTTCCCTATTTAAATACAGTTACACGAGTAGTGTAACTCGACCAAGAATGGTGACACAAAATAAAACGTTGCGCTTTTCTAAGCACATAAAGTGGATAACTATAATGTATGGCGGAATACCACAGCAAGTGCATGGGAGCACTTCGACTGTTCTGCTGACGAAATTTCTAGGGATGCACGATATATCGACCAGCATATCGGTATCGGCCGATATATGTTCATTTTTTAATGTTATCGCTATCGGCCTGGTAAGAAAATGTGGCCGATATATTAAAGCCGATGAATAATGTATTATTCCCTTCAGCTGAGACACTTGTTGAGCACTGTTTATGTTTTATGTCTTGAAATATGATTGAAATCTCTTCAAAAAATGAAAATACAGTTCGGTAAAACATGTGCAGCGCAAATCTGTCATATCAGCTATATAACACTATAATGAGAACATCATTATAATTGTGCTATAGCTCTTTCTTAAATTGCACAGCATGTTCATCAGCATCTACAAATGTAATCAATAATCAAATGACAGAGAAGAATGCAGATGTAATGGTATCTCATTTTTTGTACCCCTCAGTAATGAATACGCCATCCATAAACTCAAGCAGGAAGGTTATGAGGAGGGCATGTACCTGCTGCGCTGGAGTACTCATGACTACGATCGTATTTTCCTGACTGTCATATGCAATGAGGTATATTCACTGTTACTGTACATGCTGCAGGTGGAAAAAGAGGTTTCAGTAAAAGTTGTGTATGTCAAGCAAATGTAGAATAAAGGCCAATTCACACTGCACTGCGACGGGTAACACACTGATCCGACAAAATCTCGGTCGGCGTCTGTCGGAGCTTGTTTTTCGGCAATTGAACGCTCAATCAGCGTTTGTTGGTCTTGGAATGCTGTAATCGGGTGACTGTCGCCGTTGGTCTGCGACTGTTGGTGCAGTGTGAGTTGGTCTTTAAGAAAACATACCGGTACCTTAAAAATGAAAATAAGTTTGCGTAATAAGATATTGAACTGAAGTTCAAAGGTCAAAACGGGCTCTTTTCTTTTAGAGGGATTGTTTTGGCGGCATCACCAAAGCCTTCAAGAACTTCCAGATTGAAGTGAGTGCACAGGGCTTCCTCCTGACTGGGACGGATGTTGTGAGACCCACTCTGAGAGAGCTGACGGACCACCTGACTTCCCAGTGTCTCTCAACAGAACAAACCAGCTTAAGACTTGAGCGTGGCTGTCCGCCCCAACCAAGAGGTACTGGAGCTTCCCTCCAACAGTGATGCTGCAGAAGTAGATAGCCAGAGGTTTATAATGTTTGTCTTCTTAACGGAATCATTTAAAGAGGACTTTAACATGCTCAACTTCCTTTAGTGTGTAATGTTGCTGTTTGAGCATGAAAAAAAGTAAGCACGGTTTCCCTCGATTGTAGTCTTGGGTTTTCTTCTGAGAATTAAGTAACTATTAAGTAAACATCCTTGTGACTTAAAATATTGCAAAAACATAAAACAATCTTCCATTTGCTGCTTCACAGAGCAATCCAACCTCGTCCTGATGACCAGAAAAGATTCAGTGTCACACTCTTCATTAAGCATCTTCCATAGGATCTTCAAAGAGGACATTACCCAGGTTGGACATCAAAACTGTGTCTTTAAGTACATAATATGAATAAAGTTAAATCCGTTTACTAGAAAACAAACATATTTTTATAGAGTGAGAAGTTATTTCATGGGGCTGGAAGATCTGACTAAAGTGGGCCGCTGTTGTTTGGAATATAATAGTTGGTTTTAAACTGCCATTATGTTGCAGAGCCAAAACAACAACAACAAAAAAACAAATCCACAACAAAACATCCATCAGCCGGCCTAACCAGCAATATATATATTTTTTTTCTTGAAGTTGGCATGATGGGAGTTACGATAGTCTTTTTTTTCTTCTCTAATTGTGATGTATATCTGAGAGAAACATGTAAAAAATATATATTAAAAAAAACGAATTTGTGTAAAATAATGAGACTTAATTTAAGCATAAATCTAAGCCATATTAGTGGGATGTACAGTGGGGCCAAAAAGTATTTAGTCAGCCACTGATTGCGCAAGTTCTCCTACTTAGAATAATGAGAGAGGTTTTTTGAACTTTTGTTATTGACCAAATACTTATTTTCCACCATAATTTACAAATCAATTCTTTAAAAATCCTACAATGTGATTTCCTGGATTTTTTTTTTCTTCTCATTTTGTCTCTCATAGTTGAAGTGTACCTATGATGAAAATTACAGACCTCTCTCATTATTCTAAGTAGGAGAACTTGCACAATCAGTGGCTGACTAAATACTTTTTGGCCCCACTGTACGTTTAAAACTTGTGTTCTCTAAAAGCAAGTTTTACTTTACATACGTATCAAGTCAATTTATCTAGTTTTAAGGATGTTTATTTTTTTACTGGAAGACAAGACAAAAATACTGATAAAAAACATATTGCAGTCTTGAAGCTGGATAAACCAGGTTTACAATGTTCGACCAGTTCAGATCAGCTATTGTTTTCCAGAATATGTTGGGTTTCCCAACTAGATAACTTTTATCTGCCAGGTAGAAATGGAAAGAAATGGTCTGTCTTATGAAGTTGATGCTTGTTAAACAGGACAAACACCTGGGTCAAGGCACTCGCACAAACATCTATGCTGGCCAGCTGAAGTTGAGAAATGAGGATGATGAGGGGTATTTGGGCCTTCGGGTGGTGGATGTGGTTCTGAAGGTGCTGGTAGCAGGACACAATTACATTTCTGTAAGTGTCAACCCATCTTTTAATACATGAGTAAATAAGGGGGTATTGCTTTCACTAATACTTCTGTACTTCTCTTAGGCCTTCCTGGACACAGTCAGTGTAATGAGACAGATATCCCATAAACACATGGTTCTCATGTTTGGCATATGCATGCAAGGCATGGACGGTAAGTGTTCACGCTCCACTGGACAAAAATCCAACAAAAGTTAAAGGAATAGATCAGCCTTTACTACAGATGATCTCACGTGTCATTGCTGTTGTTCTGCCAGTCATTATGGTGGAGGAGTTTGTTCGGTGCGGCCCTCTGGATCTGTTCATGAGAAGCCATCGCTCTGATCTCACACCCTCCTGGAAGTTTCAAGTTGCGGAGCAGCTTTCCAGTGTCCTCAGTTATTTGGTACAACATTTAAGTTTGAACTTACATTACATTCTGTGGAATATTTCAAAGTTATGGGTAAATAAATGAATGACTATAAATGAAGTACGCATCTTAAATATTTATAGAAAATAGATTTTTTTAGAACACATTGAGAAATCACGTTTAGATTAGTTCCCAATCAGTGCTATTTTATTCTTTTATATTAGCTTTATTTTTGTATTTTCAGGTTTAATTTTCTATTTACTTGAGATTTTTTTTTTCATTTTCTTGTGTGCTTTTGTTTGTCAATTGTATTAGTTTTTGTTTTTTAAAATATTTCTATCTAGCTTTAATCGCAGTTTTAGTGTTCGTAATTTTAGTTTAGTTTTAAAATCTAAAAAAAAAAAAAAAAAAAGTGTTAAAGAGTGTTAAATGTATTTTTCAAGGTAAACCGGTAAAGTTTTAGTGACAGCCCTGGCTAATAATAATAATATTAATAATAAATAAATAAATAAATAAAAAATCCCAAAGAAACAATAATGCATGCATGATTATGCCACACTGTTTGACAAAACATTTTAGCCCTTTGACACCTTTTTAGATCACAATAATAACATGTGACAATTGTAAACTACATTTCCCAGAGGATGATTTGATGTCCTGCTTTACCCATAGAGGTCTTAATAGTTATACAATTTATAAATACATAATTTTAAACTCTCTAGTGGAATCTTTGAGACAGAAAATGGACTCAGTCTTATTTTCTCTCTTTCAGGAGGATAAGAAGCTTGTCCACGGCTATGTCTGCGCTAAAAACATCCTGTTGAAGCTGGATGGTCTAAAAGGACAGGGTGGTCCTTTCATTAAACTGAGTGATCCTGGACTGCCCATTTCCGTGCTCAGCCGAAGGGGTAACACATGCTCATGCACACTCATCCAGAATAAATGTTTTAAAGGTCCCCTGACATGGGGTTATTTTATAATTTTATAATGTTTCCTGGTTTGCCCTTAAAATGTTAGTATGTTTTTTTAGATCAAAAATAGTCATCATTTAGAAATAAAAGGCATTTTTCCTAGTATGATTTTAGCCTCTGATTTGAACGCTCTGTTTAAAGGGGCGTGTCTGCTGTGGGATTCAGTGTAACCACCCACTGCTGTGATTGGCTAACATGGTTGCATATGAAATAGCTATCGAAACTTTCTCAAATACTTTTACACCTATTATAGGTTTTTACCATTACAGCTATCGAGATTACAGAATCGTGACAAGTTTTTCAAGTATTTAGATCTATTCCCATCTCATACATTTTGTCGTGATTAGCATTAAGCAAGCTGATGACAGTCTGTTGATCGCGAGAATGAAGATCTTATCTCTGCACTCTCTCTAATGCTTTCACCAATGCAGACACGATGATGCACATATAGTAAGAGCTTCGTTGTGCAGTGTGCGTCATTGATTTCATAACGAGTTGTCCAGATAAACTTGCGCTGTGTGGAAAGATTGTTCTTTGATCACTTTCTGTATAATTTGTTCAGAACTTAAATTATTGAATTATTGATTGCGTCTGAGTTGCAGAGAAGAGGAAAATAGCCAAAGCTCAGTTTACACCAAATACAGTCTAGGGGAATTAATATTAATGTTAAAAAACCTCAGAAAGTGAAAATTTCATGTCAGGGGACCTTTAAAACGTTTTTTTTTTTGTTGTTGTTGTTTTTTTAATGGTAGTGTGCCTAATGAAAAATGTGTCACTTGACAGAAAAAGAAACCAAGCAAGCAACACTGTTACAGTGTAATTTATAAATGTGCTTATAATAAGACCAATAATGTATATAAGTTGCAAAATAATATTTACATTTTTGAATATATTTTGACTTCTCAACTTCACTGTTTTGTATTGTCATTGTAGCGAGGCAAAGGTAAATAAGTGTAATAGACTAAGTGTCATTGACAGTTTCCGACAGAGCCCATAGCCTTTATGCAGAACTTCACATGAACAAACACATAAACAAGTCTTGAACTGTCATCAGTTACTCACCCTCATGTCGTCCCAAACCCGCAAAGTTCATAAAGAGTCATAAAACTAATCCATATGAATTTACCAAAGAGGTTCATTCTCGTGTTACGCAGCACGTTTGAGCTTCAGCAAGAACCAATGAGGTTTGTTCATCAAGCAAGTGTGGATGAGCTTATGTTTATGTTTGCTGATCAATATTTATGTGAATAAAAGTCCAAATTAAATCTGTTCATCATATAAAGCGATCGTGTCTCTTCATAAAATTTTGACTAAACCGCTAATTCATATGGATTAGGTTTACGATCTATTTATAAACTACTTAAAACTTAAAAGTGGTAGTTGTGTAGCTGTCAATGGAGGGACAGAATTTTCTCAGGTGTCATTAAAAATATATATTTATTTGTGTTCTGAAGAAGAACGCAAGTGTTGCAGGTTTGGAACATCACAAGGCTGATTAAACGATGACAATTTTCATTTTAGGGTAATTTAACCCTAAGGTAATATGCTAACCTAGCTAGTTGGAGTTTTATTCGATTTAAATATATAAAAGTCGAAGAAAAAAATATCAAATCTTTTAGATATCAACCTGTATATGCGATTGACATTGGTTATACTCATCTTTGCTCTCTGCTCTGAAGGTTTCTCAAGTACAACGGCTCGATATATAATGAAGCACCGGAAAACCGGAAGCAATGCAACCTGTTTTACAGAATAGAGAAGTTTGTTGTGCATGACCCCCATTTTGCATTACTAACATTCAATGTGCCTGTGGACAGAGTGTGTCGAAAGGATTCCCTGGATCGCCCCGGAGTGTGTTAATAACCCCAAAGCACTGAGCGTTGCTGCAGACAAATGGGGGTTTGGGACCTCACTGTGGGAGATTTGCTACAATGGCGAGGTGCCTCTGTCTGATAAGAAACTCTCAGAGGTGTTTGAATCTTTTCTAATACGTTTCTACATTTATGCTTGAATAAAGCAGCTGTTGTTTTATTGTAATTGAAAACCATGTATTGTCATCTAACATCTATGCGTACATGAACAGAAAGAGCGATTCTATGAGGTGTGCGGTACTCTGGTCACTCCCAGCATCAGTGAACTGGCTGATCTGATCTCCCAGTGCATGAACTATGACCCCCGGAAGAGGCCGTTTTTCAGAGCCATAGCGAGAGAGCTGGGCCGCATCAAAGAGCAGCGAGAGCAGGGTATCTGTCACTTAATATCAAACTATAAATAACATGGATACTAGTCTTAACTCTATTTAAGCCAATGGAATTTTTGCTGTCATCAAGTGCATGAAAAGATTTTATATTTCACCCGACAACCAAAAAACTTTTTCTTTAAAAAAAAAAAAAAATAGCATGGTCATTATAGTTTAAAACCCTCTTTTAAAAATCTCATTTTCATTACTGTTATTTGGGGGAAAGTTATTATTTACATTTTAAAATATAACTGGAAGTATTAATACATCATGTTAGTATTTGCTGTACTGAATTTAATTTAACTAACTTTTTATGTTTTATCCACAGAACTTCCCGTTATATCAGGGGTAATTCCTCCACAGGAGACTGATCCTGCAGATTTCAAGAGGAGATTCCTCAAGAAAATCCGGAAACTTGGAGAGGTACTGGACTTAGTCAAAAAAAAGTTTGGTCTGTAAATATTTGGACTTTTTTTTTTTTATAGAATTCTAGAACAAGGAATTTTTAGAACACATTTTAAATCTGTGTAATTTTAGGATTATTTATATAATATATTAGTATTTATGATTTTGATTTAAGTTTAAGTTTTTGTCATTTTGTTATGTGCTTCAGTCATGTGGGTTTTTTTTTTCAAACATTTCTGTTTAGCTTTAATTTATATTTGTTTTAGTTTTAGTAATTTTAGTATCTCAACCTATTTTATTTCAGGTAATTTTCTTATTACCTGATAATTACTAATAATTTTATTTAATTTCAGTTTTATTTCAATTAACAAATTATTTTTAATAGTTTTAGTTAACACTGGTGCTCCTAATAGGACTATTATGAATACCAATAACCCCAGAAGTACAAAATTAATTTAAAGAAATTTGGGTTACACCTTATTTTAAGGTTTCCCTGTTACTGTGTAATTCTGCATTTAAGTACTGAGTAATATTCATTATTAACTACACGTACTTACTGTAGGGTTAGGAAAATATCAGGCAAAATTTTAAGTGAGTATAGTATAGAATTTATAGAATGGTTTTATAGGAATACTATCTAAATACCTTTAGAATTTTGAACTAGGGATTCTAATTGGAAATCTGGACCAAGTTAAACCAGTTTCACACCTATCCCTCCTAAATCTCATAACCCCCTTGGAATAATGTGTCCTTGAATCACGTACCTGTTTATATCGTTCTTAATAAATCTTGTCCAGGGTAACTTTGGGACGGTGGAACTGTGTCTGTATGATCCTAATGGAGATCAGACAGGTGAGCTGGTGGCCGTCAAATCTCTGAAAACACAGGATGAGAGCAACAACCTGAGAAAAGAAATCAACACCATCAGAAACCTTTACCATGAAAACATCGTCAAATACAAAGGCATCTGCAATGAAGAAGGCAAGTCGTAAACACGCCTTCACACACAAGGCTCTGTTTACACACAGTGTTTACATCTGTGTATAATCTTGATGGCTTACACCTTAATGAAAAAAATGTTATACCTAAGTTACAAAAGATAATATTACCCAGTTATAGACCATATATACACTCGCTGTATTACTTATCGCTTGCGGTTAATGTGTGTCACTCAGGAGGAAAGAACATAAGGCTCATTATGGAGTATTTGCCCGCTGGCAGTCTGAAAGAATACCTGCCGAATAACAAATCCGACATCACACAGAAGAGACTGCTGCTTTATGCTCTTCAGATATGTCAGGTAATATAGCCAACACGGTTACTTTTAAAAGTAATGTGATACAATATTGTGTTGTGTTACTCCCTAAAAAGTAACTAATTGCGCTACTATTATAGAAAATAGTATTGTCACGTTACTTTTTCTCACCTGGCTGTGATTATCTCTTTTTTGCAAGTGTTTAACACAGTAATTTATTCAACAACATAGCCTAAATAACCCACCATCATATAACTATAGTCTGACCACTTAGAATATTTCCTGACCCCTATTGCTATGTATGCCATAGAAAATATCTCTTAACATAACAGGTTATGTTACGTAATGACTGTACAGCTCTTTTTATTGACTGTTGAAATTAATGGGCTTTGTTACGTTTTTTTTTCGTCTGTTCCTGCGCAGACGATGTTATGGAGAAGAGAGAGAATTCAGATGTCAAGCGCTTAAGCGAATTAATTGAACTTAAAAAGTAACGTGCGTTACTTTTTATAAAAGTAACTAAAATACTTTTGTTATTTTATAAAGTAATGTTACTTTACTCATTACATCAAAAAATCTGATTACATAATGAATGTTGCTTGTAATACATTACCCCCAAGACTGATAGCCAATACAACAAGCAGCTACTCTATCAATTACTCGCCTGTTTTTTTTTACAATAAACAAGCTTTCAGATGCCACTTAGTTTGATATTTTAATCCAACGCAATTACATACAGATATATTTAATTGTGACTTACTGTGACTATTTAAGTGTCAACATTTCTTTCTTTCACTAGACAGATGTAGTTTAAAAATTGTGCACTGTTACACTTCCCAAGTCAGCAATGTATACTGGATTCTTATGGAATTTCTATAAATATTTGGAAATTTTATGGAATTAATAGAACAATACATTTTTTTATAGAATTCACAGAACACATTTTAGTTCCCAGCCAGTGTTTTTAGTATTTATATAACTATTGCAAAGTGCCCATGCAAAATCAGTTTTTGTGTGTGTTTTTAGTAATTGTTGGTTTGGTGTGTTTTAGTGCTCATTGTTTCAATTACACAGCAGTTCAGTTTCAGTGTCATTTTAATTTGTGCATGGTAGAAAGCAAATACTGATACTGACATAATGACATACAATAAATATGGAAAACTGAACTACATGATTAAGGGAGCAGACCACACAGTGAAGAAAACGCTACTTAAAGGGATAGTTCACTTTGAAATTAATTTTTGATATGTTTTAGCTTACCTCAAAGCTGTCTTTGTTTCCACAGTATTTTCAATTTTGATATTTTTCGGGCCAAACCGTTGTTGTCTATCAGTCATATAATGCAGGTATATGGGGTCCTCCCTCAGTTCACCTCAAAAAGCATGCACAGAGAAGTCAAAATTAAACATGATTGAATGACTCGTAAATGTAAGTACACATTGATGGCCTAAGACACGAAACGAGCGGTTTGTGTGAGAAAACGAACAGTATTTATAACGTTTTTACCTCGTGTAATCACAGCCATGTCCAACTGATCTGACGGCACGCGAGTGATCGCTCGCGTGTGTACATCACTCATCACTTTTGCATTTCTAATTCAAACAATGCCAAACTTGGCACTACACTTACTCATGCCTGTAGTAAGACACCTATCAAGTTTGAAATGCATCGGACTAACGGTTCGAGATATATGAGATTTAACAGACCAACAGAAGTTCCTGTAGTTTATAGATAATTATAGTATTGATTCATATTTTGAATTAGCTTTTAATTTTATATTTTCAATTTCCAATGTAATTTTAGTTTACAGGTATTCAGAATATTATGGGTTTGACTGTTTCCTGTGTGTTCATCAGGGAATGGAGTACCTGGGATCTCAGAACTACATCCACAGGGATCTAGCAGCGAGGAACATCTTAGTGGAGAATAAATCACTTGTGAAGATTGGGGATTTTGGTCTGACCAAGTGCATCAAAGATGACAAGGATTATTACAAAGTGACTGAAGAACAGGACAGTCCTGTGTACTGGTAAAGTAGCACCCATTTCTGCTTAGTTTGGATGTTATACAACTTTAAATATTTTAATCATGTAAATGACTGTATCAACGTGTTTTTAAATTTGTTGAATATTCATATAAAGGAGGAATAGATAAATGTTTTCTGAAGAGTTCTCAGATTAGCCAATAATTTATACTCTACCATTCAAAAGTTTAGTATCAGTAAGATGTTTAGTATCCTTATGCTCACCAAGGCTGCATTTATTTGATCAAAATACATTAAAAACAAAAATATTGGGAAATTATTTTATAGTAAATTACTACTTTAATATATTTTTTAAAGTATTTTTTCCCTTCCAGTCTTTAGTGTCACATGATCCTTTAGAAATCATTCTAGGATGCTGATTTGCTGCTAAAAAGACGTGATTCAGATATTGTTTAATTCCACAGCCGCGACCTTACACTGATTGTGCTTTATGCGTGCAGGTATGCTCCAGAGTGTCTGATTAGTCGAAAGTTCTATAAGGCATCTGACGTTTGGTCATTTGGGGTCACCCTCTATGAAATTATGACCTACTGTGACCCAGAACGCAGCCCTCCACAGGTGAGCCGCCCCTGGCCATTACAAACCTGATATTGACTTTATTGAATACTCCAGCTAACACAGTGACCCATTCACTGATTCCTGTTAAATGTTGCCAAAGTCCCTTTCAAGGAATGTCTGTTCACTCAGCGGCCATATTTGCAACCCCTCCGGGCTGCTATTTCAAACATCCAAGACCAAGACCTATCTACTTGAATTGGGGAAATCCTGAAATCTCAAATACCGCTTGCCCAACTCACATTTGAATCACAAGTTTCAAATCAGCAACAAATTCTGACATGAACTATCCAATAAGTGTTAATGGAAAAATGTTTCATGCTAGACAGGCCAATGCACATTTGTGGTCCTAAAATGCAGACTGATCTCATGAAATGGCGTATGTATGACACGCCAATTCGTATTTCCATTTTTGGCGTGCTATCAACACGTATAAAGGCTTTTCAGCGTGTTTATGAACGCCGTTGACTTAACGTTACATTACCGTATATATAATTATTAGGGCTGTCAGTTAAACGCGTTATTAACGGCGTTAACGCAAACCCATTTCAATGGCGTCAGTTTTTTTTATCGCGCGATTAACGGTCTTTTTGGCCTAGCAAACTTTGTCGTTTTCTTTCACATGCTTTTGCAACAGGACGCGCGGTATGCGCTGCGCTATGAAATAGTCATTTCAATGGCTTGCACCACGTGAGGAGGTTTTTTTTGCTTTGTCGTCAAAAGTGCAAGTGGTTGGGGTTGCGAGCCGGCCAAATAGTTGGTTAACGTTACGTTTTGAGTGGATGACGAGTGCGAAACGCCGAAATGGATGCCGATAAGATTCTAAACAGAAAGTTTACTTTGCCAAATGGTTCCATTGACAAGACCAAAGTGATCTGTGTGTTTTGTCGTTGTGAACTGAGCTATCATCATCGCAGCACGTCCAGTCCGAAATACTGCTTGATGATGGCCAAGCACACACACACACCTGCTGCGAATTCTCCGCCCCCTCGTCAATATCAGGACCTCGTCAGCATTTCTTTCACCCTTTTATTGATGGACAGTGTTACATTGTGTGAAAGATTATTTGCTCCAAGTGAGAATTTTAGTGTGAATTTGAACACAGTATATGCCAATTTTGTTTTCAATAACAAACATTTGCACAAAGCAAGCCGATCCACTTTTCCATGTTGATAAGAGCATTAAAATGAGAAAAAAATAATGGGACAAAAAGAAATCAAGAGACATTTAGAATAGTTAACTCGCAATTAATCGCACATTTTTATCTATGACATTAATGCGATAAATCGCGATTAAATATTTTAATCGTTTGACAGCACTAATAATTATATATGAGCTACCCCAACACTGTCCCTAAACCTACCCGTCACTGGGGTTAATACCATTTATGAGTCTTACCCTACCATCCTAGGAAAAAAATATCGCTCCCCAGATGTTGATCTACATTTTGCTTCGATGCGCTCGGACATCGTATTTAACGGCGTGTACATACACGCGAAATTACTCGGACATTTAACGGCATAAACATGCTCAAAATGCATATAGATGACACACCACTTGACTTGAAAGTGCCGTGTATGTTTACGCAAAAAGTCATGATGGAGCTTCTAACAGCAGCTGCAATGACTTGATTGGCTTTTTTATTTAGAAGGCTGGACTTATTCCGCCATATTGTTGCACTTTCTCCCACGTGTGCACCGTCTTTGTTTATCTAAATTCTTTGATGTTGCTGAAAATGTGTCTCTGGTAGGTTTTCAAGAAAAAGATTGGTCAGTCTCAAGGGCAGATGACTATGGCCAGACTGGTAGAAGCTCTTGAGAAAGGCTGGAGGATGCCACCCCCAGAGTCATGCCCTGATATGGTAAGAGATACTTGACCTCTGAGAAACAGCCACCCATGATGTGTGAACTTTAGTGTGGAGGGGCTGTTATTTGGTGCATTTGTGCACAAAATGAACTGATATTATATTCTACTGCATTGTGGTCAGATTCCTCAATATATGTGTCTCTGTGGCTGCAGGTGTACACTCAGATGCACAGGTGCTGGAGTCATGCCCCAGAAGACAGAGTGGACTTCGAGAGCCTGATTAAAGAGTTTACGCTTCTCTCTAGAGAAAAAATCTAACTTCCTTTCATCACATCAGGTTCACCTACAGAATTCAGATTCATTTGGTCATATTTTTCTATACTAATTTCATTTTCTCACATTTTTCTATATTATATATCATTTTAATATATTTGTCTATACCTTCCTCATTATAAGAACTATTTTACATGTTACGTTCTTTTTAAAAAATTGTCAGTTAATCACCTACCTCCAAAACACTCTCTGTTTATACAGTGTATTCTTACAGGTTCTTGGCTAACAGAACATCCTACACTTAGCATTTAACAAGTGCAAAAAATGATTCATTTATAAAAACTAAACTAGTTATTTTATGAAAGGTAAAATGCAGAAGTGCCTTATTATCACAGTACTAGTAGACATATTTGTTATATTTTATGGGCTCTATGCACGGCGTTATTTCTGGTGAAGGTGTAAGGATGCTCGATAACTTCCGCCGATCAGTCCAATGCAATACCGAGAATTTATATAGAATTTTATACTCCATGGTTATACTAATGAAACGTTAGTCACAAAAACAGATAAAACAGACACCCCTCGTTGTGTTTATGCTTCTTTTTAAAATTATATTAAATAAACATAACTATATATAAAATTACATCTAAACGTATGTACGTTTCGTTTCAAAGACGGGAGGACAGTAAATATTGAAGACTCTGCCATAATCCCGTTTTCTCCGGTTTTCCTCCGCTTTAATCTACACAACCGGAAATGGACGAGCATCCTTACGTCAAATGCGGAACTTATGCGTGCATATAGCCCATTGTAATATCTATGACATAGAGAGCAAGAGGGAGAGGAGTGGATGAATATTGTCATAATTGTCAAAAAAAAAGTTTTAAATAAAATGTTCCTTGATTTTAAATGTGTCCTAAAGACATTGTTTATTGTACTGTTTATTGTATTGTAAAAGTTCTGATGTGTGTTTATAGCATCACGTTATATTTCTAAATTTGTGCTGGAGGTCATAGGTTATCCAATTCTTTCAAAGAGAGAGAATGAGTCCATTCCACCAGTTCGTCCATTTCTTTCTCCCAGTGTTCCCGCCCAACTGAACCCTGAGCGGGGCCAGGAATCTGGGGGATCAGCGGTTCTAATGGGGTACACATTGCAGAAATTGAGGTGAGGTGGGATTTCCGAAAGGACACACACAGTCTGATCTACAGGACCAATCACCTGAAGCTCTGCACTGCATGTAGAGTCTTCTCATGCGCTCCACACGGCTGCGCTTCTTTGGAAGCTTCCGAACAGGGCTGCACATAATAACCGAAAACCTAATATACTGTTCTGGTGTTCAGCGGTGCTCCAATATTAAAAAGTAAAGCCGATTATATCCACTCATGAAAATCAAGCATTGATAATGAGGAAGTATGTTTGTATGGAGTTCAGTTCTTTACTACTCTTTGGTAAAAACAGTCCTTCGGATGATATCATAAGTATGGAAGCCCATCATATGATAAATCATAATTACTACGATAACTACGTTTTTAACTACGATTAAAAAGTCAACATGATAGTCATAATTACGACCTAAAAAGTCCAAATGTTTGTCATCTAGTAATTTAGACTTTTTCAATTTTGACTTTCTATATCAGTCAAAACTATAAGATAAAATGTCATAATTACCTTACATTTGACTTTTTATCTCAAAATTGTTTTGTGGCATCACAAGGACATTTAGGAAAAGAGGGATACAGGACATTACAAGCGCTCCTTTATCTCAGAAATGTAAACTATATTTCACTGAAACTAAATTGTAGTGATATCTGAGCTTGTATGCAATGAGTGAAAGTGTATTATATCAACTCACATGTTGCACTGTTGCATTTGAATGAGACAATCTTTATCACTGCTTGCTGACCCATAATTGACTGCACATTTCTCTGTATATTTGATGAATTCATCCAAAGCTGTAATAGGAAATATCAACGAATTTTGGCAGATATATTTAAAAACATCTTAGAGAGGACATAATATTTTTTTAAAGGAAAACATTAATAGCAAATGAAGCACAACATTAGATTTGCTGATGTATTCCACACCATCACTATACAGTAAAGTCTTATTATTAATGCACTTACAATCACTTTCTTTCAGAAGTTCTGGGTTAGTGGTGGCGATTCTCATCCATATGTCAAGATACTCCTCAAAGGCAATTCTACATACTCGCCTGGTAAAGAAGAGGAGATAGTTTACAAATCCTATATATATATATATATATATATATATATATATATATATATATAATGATATCTGTAACAAATTTAAAGTAAAAGATTCAAAATATTTGAGGTCTTGCCTTTCGCTTGACTTCAGCTCCATACCTGCCACACCGTCTGATTTAAATGGTGAAAAATATATAGTTTTAAAGTATTGTCATTTTAATATGATTTTGATAAATGTAATTTATGATGTGCAAGGTGCAGTTTGTGAACTTGTGGGTTATTCTTACCCTCCAGCTCCTGGCTGTTCGTAATGATCTGTGTTGATGGAGAGCAGGGCAGTATATCATATGCTTCCATGGCTACTGCAGGATGTAAACAAAACTGGTCCAGAAGCACTTCCTGTTTCAGTTTTTTAACACTACATAAAAGCTGGGATAAAATACAACCAACAGAACATATAAAACGGAATCAAAAAGTTAAACACACATCTTTAAGATTTTTTCTTTACATGTGAAATAAAGAAAACAGTTACAAACTGAAACAGGAAGTGTTTCTGGAACAGTGTTGTTTACATCTTGCAAAATGGTCTATAAAAAGAGTGTGGACTATGCTGACTCATCAAAAGCACTGTATGTGCATGTGGCCTGTAACCTGTTGGAATGTGAGGGCAAGTTTGTCTAATCATGGAATAGGCTCATGTTTAAATTCTTTTAAAATCTAACATCAACAGAGATTGATAAATTGTGAAAAATGTATTGTTAAGCCTAGATGACTAATGGGACCTTATTATGTAGCCTAAAATGTAAACCTTTTAAACAACAATAGGTTGTTTAACCTTGAACCTAAAATACACAATAATAATAATAGTTATAGCCTAATGCCTGTATCAGAAATGTATAACTCCTTCAGGGTAAACGAGACATTTATTCAAAATGTACTTAATATACAGCATAAAACAAACGAGACAGGTGGGCAGGTGTGCAATACTCTTTTACAAAGATATACGTTTTACCCAACTCTTGACTTTACATCAAAACCCATGAATCATGCACTCAATCATTGCTGGAATAGCACATTTAATTGTTTTAGCCATTCCTTAAAGCCTATAGGCTATCCGTTATCAGAAGTTACTTAGCCTACCTGTGTGACAGCTGCGTCTAATTTCAGCCAGTATATTACATTATTACTTGATATCAGAGCTTGTTTTTGAGTCCAACATGTCGTTGTTGGGCAGCGAATTCATGAATACAAATTTCGTCAGTGGTTAGTTCATGAATATTAATTGAGTTATGGCCACGTTGCTCGGTAACCTTCCTGAAACGTCAAGTGACGTAATTAATATTCATAAGCCAAGAATAAACGTAAAGCTCGAGGTATCAGTTTTCCTTCTGATAAGGCGACCCGCGAGAACATGTTGCAATTATATTTTTCGCCGAAAGCAATGTATAGAAAAAAAGAACGAAAAAGTAAAAGGGCATTAAAAGTAGGCTAATCATGTAATAACAGTAGGGCCTCTTCGCCCGGTTCTTTCATGTATCTGTGAAAGCTGCAGGGCAATGGTGACGAGCTCCGCCAGCGCCACCTGTAAAAAATAAATAAATAAATAAATAAATTATTACAACCTGGTTATGAAATTTAAAAGAATATGTTCCATAAGAAATAAGTCATCATTTACCTGTGGGTCCTGAAAGATCTTGCTTATGTCTTTCTCAAAACTGTCGATATACAGGCGAACTGTGGCTCCGAAACTATCGGTCCCACTAAGACGAAAGATTATGCGAGAACCTCCTTTAAAAATGATCCGCAAACCCTACAGGGAATGTTTACATGTTCTTAATATTTATGTTGTAATGTTATACAATTCATTACAGGCATTAATAACACTATCCCTATTTCCTGTCTCGAGATCTTCCCATTAAACAAGTTCAGCGCGGTAACCCGCACAACATCCGGTTTCATTGGTCAACTCATGTGGCCCGTGGAAAAGTTCAGACAAAAACAATGCAAAACTAATTTATCAATTCAATTAAAGCTTAAGATATAAATAAAGGTAAAATGTATTTAAATAAATTAAAATCTTGAGTAAAAAAAGATGTGGCCTAAGCTATGTATAGAGAAACTAAATATTTTCCAAATAATACTTTACACTTTTAGAATACGTATTTTTTTTTATAGTAATAGCTGTCTGGAAAAGGTTTTTGTGTATAGACGACAACCATGTCAAAACATTCCCCACGGATCCATGAAAACTATTTAAAAATGTTAGATTCTGCTTCAAGGCCAGTAGTTGGCGATGTCACTTTGTAAAGAAACACTATGCTCCTTGACTGAACCATAGACAGTAAAAGAAATGGACACAGCGACCCCATTTATTTCAACACAGAAGACTGAAGCCCGATTATTGCACTTCCTGTCTGATGTCTAAACGACTGCGGATCTCAAACTGAGCTTGACGACAGTCTGACAGTTGTAAATCTTCTAATTCCTCAAAACGTTGTTGAAATATTTTGTCCCATTGCTTTATGGAATATAAGCTTCTCCTTTGACTTTACGCCTCCATGTCCCCCCGATTGCCTCATGGACAGTAAAAGTGCCTGCCAGCTTCTCCTCCTGTCTATATGGTAATGTCTCTATTGTGAGACAGAAAGTTGCATGGTTATGACACTAACGTTAACCTATTTTTACAAAAACAGCTTCTACGGGGCCGTAACGTAATGGAGCCTTTTATACATCGTTGTGTTTCTTTAGAAATATATAATGGACAAATTAAGTCTTTGGACGCCTCAGATGTGAAGTTATGCTATCAAAGTCAATGGAATGCTAACAGCTGGTGAAGTTCTGCTACAATGGCGGCTCCCGCGAGGCTTCAACTTTCGGCTTTTGTCGTTTACAGTGAGACAATAACGATAGTTCTCAAAAACTTGCACTTTCAACCCCTTTTTAAAAAATGTGTGTTTCCAGGCCCCAAAAATACTGTTGTCATATAAATGAACGGCTTAAACACATTGTGAAGTTTTCAGTTTTTGCGTAAACTTCCCCTAAAAGATAGAACCCCCCCCCCCCCACATGTAGACAATCAGCACTGTCATTGACCAATGAAATTGTTAGAATCGGCTACTGGGTGGAGTTAGCACTTAACTGGTTTGGGGGAAAGAAATTACGTTTTTTTTTTTTTTTTTTGTCAAAATGACATGTTAATATTTGATATACAGTATGTTAAGATTTTATGCGGTTTCATTAAACTTTCTGCAATGAGTCTCAATTAAATAGCTAAATGTCTGCTTTGTTGGTGTCTTTACTTGTAAAACATAAATGGAAAATTTACTATAAAACAATACCTGATTTCTTGAAATGGTTCCATCCACAGGGTCACTGTACTCAAAATTGTCTGCCGCCTCCACTTGGTATTTCTTTTCTCCCACAGCAAACACTTGCCCAATGAATGCCTTGTCTGAAACCACCAGCTCAAGATCCAACATCATCTCCACAGCCGCATCTAAATCCACCGCCTCATAATCAAATCTGTCATGTGTACATTTGTCATCAATATGAAATGTCTGACTAGACTATATACTGTATGAAGAAGTGGTCTTTTACTGATAGTACACCTGGTGTAGTAGTTCCTCCCGTAGGTTCTCCAATGGTCTGTCATAATGTCTTCTACACTTTGCCTCCTCACCGCTAGGATGGACAGCCATGCTAGCACTGCCCAAAGCCCATCCTTCTCCCGGATATAATCTGAACCTATCAAGAAAATACAGCAAATTTAATCATATCTTTGTTAAAAAATTAACGTTTTTTTTTTTAACATTCAAGCATGAAAACCTATTCAAGTAGACCCCAATTTTTTTTTTGGAAAAGGGCATTATTGGTCCTCTTTAAGAGATGTTATTGTCTGTATCGCCAAAAGTGGCCATAATTGAAGAAAAAATAAATTCTTTTTATATATCTGTCTTTAAATGTCTTGGTAATGTATATTCGTTACCTGTGCCAAAACTTTCCTCCCCACACAGTGAGAGACGTCCTGCGTCCATCAAGCTCCCAAAAAATTTCCAACCGGTTGGAGTCTCGTATAGTTGGATCTTGGTGGCCCTGGCCACCCTATATAGAAGCGCAGAGTGAGTCGAGATGCAGATGATCCTTGTAAGTGAACATCTTTAATAATGTGAAACATTTAGGAGTAATATTCACATGTCTAGAGCTGCACTGGTGGGCATACTCCTAGCAAAGCCTCTTACTCCTGTGTGCTGGAAGTAAGGAATGCAGAAGATGTTTGCAGCAATGACGGCAACTGAGTCGGAGGGATTTACAAAGAAGCCATGCTTCCCAAGGATCATATTACGGTCCTAGAAAGAGAGAGCGAGAGAGACTGGGTCAGGATGGGGTCAAGAAAATGTTATACTGACTGTCACTTGAGCACTTTGCTTGGGTCAAAAGGTTGTATAGCAAGGTTGTGATGTCTCGACACCTACACCGTCACCATCAAAAGCAGCTCCAAAGTCATACTGTCCACTCTTCATCGTCTCAACAAGGTCTGCGCTATACGTCAAGTTGGGGTCTGGGTGGCAACCTCCAAAGTTTTCCAGAGGTACACAGTTAATGGCTGAATTTGCAGGGGAGCCCAGCTCCTCACACAGGATCTTCTTCACATACGGCCCAATCACTGTAGAACCAATGGAGGTTCAATAACAAAAGTTCAGAATCAGACGTTTTAATGAGACACAAGACCAAGTTGTAGATATAATGATTCATACTGAGAGCCATCCTTTCTTTACCTGTTAAAACATTTTCACTGATTCAATTTGAATAAACTCTCGCTGAAGGAATGCTCTGGGTTCAATACAATCTATACTGCATCAACAGAAACCAGACATAAAACAAGCAAACATTGCATTTGCAGTAATGCAATTGCAATGAAAGTCATCCAAAGATTCGTATAATTTCAAGGGACTCATCAATGTGGTATGGAGTTACTCCTTGAAAGAGGAGAGCTGTGCCTGCTTTTAATATTATGTCAGATGGCTCATCTTAATCATTCAGTTCACAGCATGTATTTGGAAACCCAATCTCGCTGAGAAGCAGGCAGCAGTGCAAGTCTAATCTCATCCCAATCCAACTGGCTTACATGGAAAGCATCTTCGGCCCATTAAGTAGATGCAGCTGTTACTCTAAATGCTCTTATCAAAATGTGTAAAATTAACTTGATGTAGTGTTGGCTATGGTGGCTAACTCAATGGCTAGATCAGTCAGTTTCTATATTAGTGGAAAGAAACATGGTTCCTCACCTCCATGCATGGCATCTAAACGGATTTGTATGTGATTGTCTCCTGATAGTAACTCCTTCAAAATGGCAAAATCGAAGATGTTCCTCAGAGAGTTGGCATATGATTCAACTGGGTCCACAATTTCTACTGCATGACAGAAAATATCGACAGGACATTCTGTTTATATTTTATGGCATTCTTTTGAATCAACAGCTCAGCAGTCCCGTTGCAAATGTTTTCACCTGTAAAAGGTTTGAATTTGTTCTCCAGGTCGAAGGATTGCTTGCCAATAGTCCCTAGATCAACTCTGAGTTCAGGACAGATGGCATATTCCTCTATGATTCTGCTCATTTGGAAGACTTTATTTGTGACAGCCTCTGGTGCTGGACCTGCATTGAAGATTTACAATGATAACGCATAAAACAAGTCTTCATAATCACATGTGAGCTATTTTACCTCCATTGGCAATATTAAATTTGATGCCGAAGTCTCCGTCAGGTCCTCCAGGGTTGTGACTGGCTGTAAGAATAATCCCACCAATGGCTTTAATCTTCCTGATCACACATGACACAGCCGGCGTCGACATGATTCCATTCTGACCAATCAAAACACGGCCCACCTAAGAAATTCACCAGCCCCATTGAATTAAACACCATTTGTTACTGGTCATCCTTTTAGCATATCATGTACAAATTTCAACTGGACCAACGTCATATGAGAAATTATAGAGTGTTAATGTGTTTACTATAAAAAAAGCTAATAGAGCAAAAACTAGATCAACTTGCTCGCACCTGTGTCAGATCCAAACTGGCAAAATTAGAAATCTATTAGAGTTTGTCACCATTTGCTTAAACTGTGTCCTATATAACCAGCTAACAAAAAAACTTTCTAGGAATGTTTCGCTAATGTTCCCATTGAGAAAACGTTATTTTTGTACATCCAGTAGGCTTTTTGAATTATTATATTTTGGTTATGCGAACGTTAAGGGAACATTCTAATTTATCATTTGCAAGCATTATGGGAATGCTACTTTTGAATGTTCTTGGATCATTCTGAAACAAGTAGTAGCCTAATATTTATAAAATGTTCATCCAACTAAAACGTTTCGGAAAAAAAAAAAAAAAAAAAACATTCCATTAACTATATATGTATTAATAATGTTTCAACTCACGTTTTAAGAACATCATTAAAAACCATAACTTCTATTATCATTTCTCCAAGAATTTTTGTTCATAACTTTGCGAAAACATAACCTAACCAGAATGTTAGCCAATGTTCGGAGATTGTTCTCTGTTAGCTGGATCTGTTCTACCTACCATTTGTGTCAAGGTTAAAAATGGAAAGTGTGGAAAAAATGTGGTCAGCAATAAACTAGTTATCTATTCGATATTTATTTCCCAACTCTGCTTAAGTTGAAAATGTACTCTATTAGAGGTAATGTGCAGTACTCTATTTGGACACCTACAGTATAAGAGTATAAAGTAGGCCTGTAATTTACTACAAAAGATACAGTGCAGGAGTCATGATGCATCTAGGAAGAGAGCCAGGTGTCTATAACGATAACCTGGATGAGATTTGAAAATATATAGTGGTTCCTCATAAGAAAACAACTGTAAGAATTGCAACTGACCCCATTAGCAGCAGCCATCTGCACTATGACCTGAATTGCAGTCGAATTGAAGTAGCGTCCATCTCCACCCACAACGATAGTGGAGCCCTGCCTGTCCCGCAGGTCGATGGAGGAGAAGATGCACTGAATGAAGTTGTGCAAGTAGTTCTTTTTAGACTGGAAAATATGGACCTTCTTCCTCAGGCCACTGGTTCCAGGCCTCTGGTCGGGGTACGGAGAAGTAGGCAACGTAAGCACTTGCAAGGGACTATCGTTCATTGCTCCAAACCGTTGAGGAAGACTAAAGGAGAAGCTGTTATCTCCTCGCAGAGGAGAGAGAGAGAGTGACGGGAGGAGAAGGAGGAAAAGCCTTGTGCCTTTATGGCATTCCCAAGAGTTGGATTGAGGCTGTTAACGGGCTAAAATTAAACTTGGTAACTGAAGACGGCTTCTCACACATGTGCATGGGCATCACTGTCAGATTCTCTTGCCTCCAAAAGCCTATTGAGGCAGATGAATAAGACGGCCAACAAGGGCTCATTCATGTGCACTATTTGCCCAGGCATTTACTCAGCAGAGGCTAAATAGAGCTGATTCTGAGTGAATAAGCCCAGGGTGGATCTGGCTGTAAACACTAAATGGGTTGTTTTGACATATTCTAAATCTCCCAGGATCATTCAAGATCCGAGCAGCTAATGAAAAACATGCCATATCGTTGGACAGTCAGGGTTTGGGGACAGTCAGGGGGGTTTGGGTATTGACTGCAGCATGTCTAAGATCCTTATGGATGAAATTACTGCATTGATGTGTTGATTATAACAGATGGTTTAGCTGGCTCCAAAATAAACTGAATAAAAAAAGACCCAGGGTAAGTCCTTACTGCAACAAGACCAATTGCGGTTGAAAGAAAGGAAAATCCTTTAAGATCCAGGCAAGTTGCGAGGTGAGGACACCATGGATCGGATTTGTTTGTCCAGCTTAATCTGATTGAGATCTAGGGAATTTGGAGGCCAAGGCAACACACCGAACTTTGTGTCTCTCAGTATGTCTCAAACTATCCCTGAACAATTTTTGAAGTGTGGGAGGGTGCATTATCCTGCTGAAAGAGGTCAGTCCATCACGTATCACCGTGCGTGATCTGCAGAAATCTAGGTGGTAAATGTCAAAGTAACATCAACATGAATACCAGGTGCAGGGTTTCCCAGCATAACATTGCCCAAAGTGCAACACTGATTCCCTTCGCCTGCCTTCTTCCCATTGTTCATCCTGATGCCATCTTTTCCCCAAGTAAACAATGCACTCGCACCCAGCCATACACCCAATTTATCTAAAATAAAACCAGGCAACCTTCATCCATTGGTCTAAAATAAAGGAAATAAGTTCTGACACTCACTTGCTCTTTGTAGGTGCTTTCGACGGTGGACAGGAGTCAATCAATGACATTTGTTATCGGCTATCTATTGACATTTGCAGTAAACTTTGATGCACTGTGTGTTCTTTCTACCTTTCTATCATGGGCTGCATAAAGTTTTTCAGCAATTTGAGCTACAGTTGCTCTTTTGTGTTATTAGACCAGACAGGCTTGCCTTCGCTACCCATGTGCATCAGTGAGCCATGGGCTCCCCCTGATGTCGGTTCACTGGTTGTCCTTCCTTGCCCCACTTTAGGTTGGTACTAAACACTGCTTCCCGGGGGGCCACTGTGACTATGCCAAGTAAAGCCGCGTTTCCACCGTAGGAACTTTCGTGGGGTGGGATTTGGGCACTGAACGCTTGATTTGTTGAGTTCACACAGAATTTTGATTGATTAACTCCATGCAGCATTTTATTTAACCACTATCAAAAGTATGTTCGGGTGCGTGCAGTAAGAGTTTGCTTTGTTTGCTATTCGAATCAACAATAGATTTTAAAAATATGACCTTTATTATATTAATTATTATATTAATATGGCTTTATTAAGTTTATATGCAGAGTACGAAATCCAGTGGGAAGCCGTGCGCAGTCCTACGTCATCTGACTAATTCTCATGTTACTTTAGACCGCGATGGAAACACAGACGGCAACAGGTCTGGTTGGAGTTCCTGGGACAATTTTTTCCGGGTAAATTCGGTGGAAACGTGGCTTCAGACATATTTTGAAGTTCTGGAATAACATTCTTATCTGAAAATGTAGTCCTGTAGTCTTATCTCTAAAATCAGAGGGGATTGATAGATGCATAACATTGCTGTAATAGAAGCACCTAACCCTTAGCCTGGCTAACGCCAGACAACGTATCATTGAGAATAAGACGTGGTCTGGAAACCACATGTTCATTTTCTCGTATTTGAGCCATGATTTACGAATGCCCAGAGCCGTATTATTGGGTGTTAAAGGGATAGTTAACTTTGAAATTAATTTTTGATATGTTTTAGCTTACCTCAAGGCCATCCAAGATGTAGGTGTCTTTGTTTCCACAGCGTTTTCAATTTTGACATTTTTCGGTCAAACCGTTGTTGTCTGTCAGTCATACACTGGAGGTTAAGGGGAGGTTATATTAAAATCGTCTTCCATTGTGATTTCCCGTATATCTAAATATGTTTAGTGAAAGGTAAAACTTCCAAATCACTGTGTAAACAATGCGTGACTTAGACGTGCGAGAGATCACTTCCGGCGTAACGTCTGGAGACGGTTCAGTTCGGTTCAGATGGAGATCTGATTCAGATCAGTTCGACGGATGTTAACAAGAGGTAAAAACTATAAATACTGTTCGTTTTCTCACACAAACCGCTCTCTGTGCATGCTCTTTGAGATGAACCGAGGGAGGACCCCCTTAACCTCCAGTGTATGACTGACAGACAACAACGGTTTGACCAAAAAATGTCAAAATTGAAAATGCTGTGGAAACAAAGACACCTACATTTTGGATGCCCTTGAGGTAAGCTAAAACATGTCAAAAATTAATTTCAAAGTGAACTATCCCTTTAAGAATGTCTATCAAATGCGCCTGTACGTAGCTCATAGCCAATCGGTTCAACAATACCATATGATGCATGTAGAGCGACAGAAAATTAAACGAGGAAGAAGATGATGGGTCAGAGATTTAGGATATTTATGTATACACAAAGGCTGTATCAAAAGATAACTTCGCTCCGCTGCCAAGATGGATCCATAAACATAAACAAACTGCTTCGGTGTGTCGCATGTACGTCGTCATCGTCTTGCTGCTCCCTCCCCGTTCTGTGATTGGTTGCCTACCTCAGGCGAAAATTTGGTTCATGGTGTCCAGGCTGCCTAACAGCATGAATAAAACCGCGCTGTGGCAAGGCAGCATGGGGGAACCCAGGCTACCCCCTGGTTGTAAGCCTAAACTTGAAACTTCTCCCTCAAATCTGATTGGTTGATTTGAATGTTGTTCCAAGATCAACAAAGATGCTGATGCAGGAACATGTTGTCCTTGCGCGTTCACTTATACAGTCAACACCCCACAAGACTTACTTTTCCCCCCTGCTTCCAACATATGAAATTCAAAAACTGACTGTTCGCTTGCTGCCTAATAAATCCCCGTTTAAATATTTTAACCAAAGAATCAAAGTTACTCTCTTCTTCTGTCAGTGGTTTTAATGTTGTGGCTGATCAGTGTATGTATTATTTTAACAAACTTAAATTAAAAATGACTGCAATTATGTACAATGCTCAGAAGAGGGCAATGCTGCATCAGCTACGGACGTTTGCTTCACCCTCAATACCCACCCCCCACCCCCCCTTTATTATTGTGTGGTTTCCACAGATTTGCTGTCATTTATACATTTTTGTACATGAGATGTTAAAAAAACAGCAAATTAAACTATTTTTGAAATACAATTGCATTTAATGTTAATACAATTATATATATTTAAGAGAATATTTATTGAAATGTAGTTCAAAAACAGCAAAAGACAGTCAATATGACATTTAAGCACATGGATGAAACTGGCTTTCAGAAGGTTAAATGAAAGGTTTCCTGGTTGGACTGACTGCAATGTAATTAAGAATGACTGAGAAACTGAATCATATGTCCAGACCAGCGGCCTAATCATAGTGTAAACGTCCCATTTTTACTGCAGCATACTTGATATGTTTATACTCGGCAAACTTTGTCATGGACATTAAAAAGTTATTTTGTAAAAAAAAAAAATGTATTCAGTTGTTCAATGAATGTGTATTGGAGCTCTGATAATTCCATACTGTTTTTCTGCACATACTGTTGATATTAAGAGCTTTGTGGCTTTGTGAGATGACTAATGGAGATTTTTGAGGCCTTGAAGATGGTGGTTCCCCTGCCAGGTTTCCAGTGGGTTCCCTTTTTACGAGGTCTGCTCTGAATACACTTGCCATTCAGGTTAATGTCGCCGCAAATGCTAAACCACCACCCACCTAAAGGAAACAGCAGCAGCCGTGTACAGAATTACACATTTAATTAGCAATTTCCATGCACACAAAATATTATGCACACAAAAAAGTAGGTGTTTTTAAAAAGAAGTTTTTAAAAAGAAGTAAAAAAGAGTTTTTTCTCAAAATAGGCTCTTAAGGCACAGGAACAGGCAAAGCAGTACTTGATATATTAATTTTGCTCAATGAAAGAGGCATGAAACAGGGAACACTCTCAGAACGTTCTCTCAAAGTTATAAACAAACGTTCTCCCGGTAACGCTAATGGAACAATCGTTCAAAGTTTTGTTCAAAAAACATTATTTATACTGTACTGTGCATTGTTCAGGGAACTTTTTTTAATGTTTTAGCTAGTTGTTCTAACATCTAACATTTCTTAAATTTGTAGATACTTGTACATTCCAATAGTTTGCAAAATTATAAAACAGAATGTTCCCTTAACATTTGTACAACCATGAAAAAACATTTTAAAAACTGGAAATTTTGAACGTTTTCATAACTTAATAAGTTCTTGGAACCTATTTATTTTAGCTGCAAATGATGGCATGTACTGTACCTGTGTAGTCTTGGGCACAGTTTGGATGGTTTCCATCGTTGTGGTCTTTAGTGGAGAATCTGAATCCAGTGTGTTCGTCCACAGTAGAGCTGGACTCAGCCGACTGCAGCTTCAGATGGATGGTGTAGTTGGAGGCAGCGTTCTCCAGGATATACTGATAAACTATGAAATGCTTATGTTTCCCCCAGTCCTCTACCTGGACGTGCAGGAGAGAATGTCCCTGATGGGCAACAGCATAGATCTTCTTCAGCCCCAGCCAGAACTCACCTATCAAACAGACATCTGAGACATCAGCTGTCCATATAGTGTAAAATTGTAATATTACTTTGGAATGTTATGGCATTCCATCATAATATATACAGTATGGTGTG